TAAATGCACCTATTTTCCTTGCAGTTTTATCTGCTAGGTGATAGGTGGGGATTTGTGGCACTTCTGTGGGCAAATCCAACAGTGATTGTACAGTTAAACATGGGAGAGAAAACAGTACAAAACACTTCACAAATCACTTCAGGTATCTTCCCAGATAAAATTTATGAGGAAAATAGAAAAGTGTTTCTTAAAGCCAAGAATCCTTTTCTCGGACTCCTGTTTATAAAAGCCATCCTACTGCTTATACAATCATTCTAATGTCTCTCCTTTGTAATGTAACTGATGTCTCAGGGTCTCCTCTGGCTCTGGGAAAGAAAGGTCACCAGGTGACCATGTCTCCCCTCCTGGGAGCCAACCCCAGGTACCTGCACCAGCAGAATTTGCTGCAAGCCCAGCCACCCTAGGCTGGTGGTTCTCAGCCAAGGGTGTGCACGAGAATGACCTCTAGGAGCTTTCCAGAGCAGAAATGCCTGGATTTTACCCATAAAGATTTGCATTTAATGAGCCAGAGGTCCAGCGGGGCCTCACTGGTTTCAGAAGCTCCCTGGGGGATTTCACTGTGCAGCCAGGGCCTAGAACACCCTTTCTGGGCTTGGGGGGGGGGGGCGGCGGGGGAAGCATCGTGCGCGGGCCTGGGAAACGTGGGCTTCATCAACATACTGAGTTACCAAGTTACCAAAACATGCTGACCGTGATTAGGGCTCTGCAGGCATTTCTAGTCTATTGGTAAATGCATAGCAACTGTAAATATAAAAATAATTTGTATCAAAGTCAGATTAGTATATATAAGCCAGCAAAGTGCTATATCATTGCTTTTCTTTACACTGACAGGATCTGTGTTCACAGTGAGACATTCTTTCCCTCCAATACGGCTGCCGACTTGACAGAACCCGCTTCAGAGCAAGACTGAGGCCACGTCACGTGTGCTTTTTACCTTCTCTCGTTTCACAAATACAAAAAGTGCTCTTCTCTTCTTTATTAGGACCATGACCCAGCTTGGCTCTGCGATGAGGCTGTGCCCTTTTTATAAGACAGACAGACTTCCCCTGCTTGGATTAAATCCCTTTAAACAAAGATTTCAGTTTTGAATTTTGATTCTATTTGTCTTTCGAACCTTTCGTAGAAAAATGAGTTTTCCTAAAAACATACAAAGTTCAGTGCTACATGAGAGGATAATCGTCCTCAAAAAAGTTACAAAAATAGATTACCTTTTAAAAATCCTATCTGAACGCGTCTTTCGTAGTACAAAAAGGTATGCCCGATGGGGCAAGGATTTCTTTTCGGTAAGGTTTTACAGCCCTAGGCAAGGACATACAAACAGATCATTATGTTGTAATAAAAACGTGTACTTATCAAACGAAAGGAATGCAAAGTAGACGTTAAAGGCAATTTCACCAGCTGTCACTTCCAGCAAGCCCCTCATTCATTTTCTAACTTCTTAGGAAATCCACACAGTTTCAGGGCCCTATCAAGGCTCAGGTTTCATACTTGCCACTTACAGGATAAGCTGCTGGGGACAAAGAATTAGAGGCTTTGGAATAGTCAGTAGTAGCCAAGTCTCAGGAATACTAAGGACAGCTCATTGTTCCGTCCTTGCGCCTCCTCCTCTGGGAACATTTACCTGACTCAGGCTTCTCTGTCCTCCCCCGCTGGGGGGCCCGTTGGGATGCCTGCGGGTCACCTCAGAGATGCAGGTTTCAACTCTGTTTGCCCACTAGGATCACACGGGGAGCCCCTGCGTCTGATTGTGTCGGTCTGGGGAGACTGGGCCCCCCCTTTTTTTTCTTTTATTAAAATTTGATTGTGCTATGTTAGTCACCATAAAACGCATCATTAGTTTTTGATGCACTGTTCCAAGATTCATTGTTTATGGCAGCCCCTTCTTTTTAAGGTTGGCAGAGAGGACGAGAACTGTTGAGTCGCCATAATCCAACAGCTTCACCTCTGCTTGAGGAACCCGAGGTCCGGTGACTGTGACAGGTGAGTGAGATGCCATCAGCCGAGGGACAGGTCTCCACCCACCCACTGGCCTTTCCTTTTCACCAGCGGTTCCCCAAACTTTGGAGCTCATCACAGTAATCTGCGGAAGTTCTGAAAGGCCCCTGGGCCCAGGCTGCACAGGAGGCAAATCAGAATCTTTGAGGTTGGACCCCAGGAGATCCCGGGGAGAGCAGCCAAGCTTGAGAGCCAGTTCATTTATGTCTGCAGTTGGGGGGGGGGGGGGCTAAAGCCCCAAATTAAGAACTTTCAACTTGTCATCAAACGATGTCCCCACAGTGCTTCTCGTTACAATAAAATCAGCGACAACTAGGACTCAGCACATCTAGAAGTTGGAAGATTCATCTTTTTTACTTCATGAGGTGACAGAAGTGTTACTTACAGGGCATGAGCGCAGGGACTCCTGAGGTTATAGGAGAGGTGTCAGGACGAGGGCCCGCTGTCAGCGTCACCTGAACCGTCTCCAAAGGCCAGATCTCAGGCGGGGCCATGGGCTGACTGAGGAAGGAACGGACTCTTTGTGGGGTCTTAGGACCTGGGCTCAAGGAGGGACGTTAGAGATGCGGTATAAACTTTGAACTCTGGCCAAGCAGGGCCATGAGGTGGAAACACTGGGGCTCTGGGGGGCCCTCCTCTCCTTGTCCGCCCATAGTGATGGTGGGGGTCCCTGACTGGTGGGCTCTGCTGTCTCGGGCTCTGAGGCATCTCCAGGCTCCCCCTGCACAACCATGGGGAGGATATCGTGGGAAACACAGTTTTCAAACTGAGGATTTAGCACCTAGATTTTATGCAGGAAAACTGAAATACAAAGGAGAAAAAGCTTGAATAGTTTTTGCTGTTTTATTATGTTATAGTAAAATATTGCAAATTACAAAAATACTAGGATTTAACTGCTACAGTCGGACTGACATACAGTTGCTCTCCCTCACCAATCACTTGCTTCTTGATGAAAAAGTGGTAATAAAATGTGCATCAGTCTGTTTCCCAGGGCCAAAGAAGATTCTGGCTAAAATATTTATGTTCTGAGGCGAATAAGTAACAAAAGTGATTTACTGACAATGGCATAAAATTCGAGAGTCTTAGAAATGTTTAATCTTTTCAAGAATCATTTTCAGATCCCCAGGGAGGGCCCCCCCCATGTGGGGTGCTGGGGGAATGCCACAAGCTAGTTCCCAGGCTTAAAGGGACAGCTTGTTAAGATGCACGAACGTGGCCTTTCTCCTACTTTTTTAGCCGTTTCTCTGGCAGATGCTTTCTTGGTTAAGGTTTTGTCTGTCGGGAGCGCACTTCCATTTCCCTCATGGCTAAGACCCTGGTCATATTTTGGCCCAACTCCACCACTCCCTCCCTGACGAGCCTTCCAAGGCCCTCCCAAGGCAGGACGCACTCTTCCCTGCCCTGTGCTGAGTGCTTGGCTGACGTCTTGCCTACCCTCTGTCGTACTGTGTTGTGTTTGAGTTAAGTCAATTCCCTTTGCTAAATTGTGAATTTCTTGGAATCGGGGATAATGTTTTATTTATTTTTAGGTCTTCAGAGTCTATGCTGGGCTGGTAGAGGTGCTTAAGAGTATCTGAAAACACAGCGGAATTGAACTAAATAGAGTTTATATTTCCATCGGAACAAAGTCAATATATTGGTAACAAAACTGTAGGGCCCTGATCCAAGAGTCAATAAATACTTTAACAGCGAAAGGGAAAACTGGTACGTGTGTAGGGCTGAACACATCCATAGGTCAGAAATACGGTCTGAAACATCTTTTCCTTGAAAGACTAAGAGGGTTTAACACCTGTGTACAAAGGACTGCCACGAACCGGTCAGGCTGTGAGGACACGGGAGGTGGAAAAGCACTCCGGGTCCTAAATTAGCTGGATCCTCCAATGCTAAGGAAACTTTTAGGAGGGAATTTGTTTTCTTTCAAAAAATGATCTGTAGATATTGTTAAGGCATTGTCATGGATTTCAAGCTCTGATTTAATATTTACCGCTTTAATTCCCCCGATGCATAGTGTTAACTTTATTTCGCCCTGTGAAATGTGCCTCCAGGAGTGAGGGCTGTCAGTTCCTGCTTGGTGGCCCCGGAGCCTGGATCCCTTCATTTTGGGGCCTTGGGGACAGCCTACCAGAGAAGTGGGGGGGAAGTACCCTTTGAGTAAAAAACTTCTACAGTAAAATAAAAAGGAAATTGTCTCCCATAAGCCTAATTTGGTAGTGTGGGGGGGTGGTGGGGTGGGAGGCTCCATGAGTTTGAGAAGGAGCGTCTCATTTCTGCAGTGTCCGGACAGATGCCCATTCATTCCCCAACCCCCAGAGGACTTGACGTATTTCCTGTGAGACTCAAATTTGGGAGCCACGTTCTCGTGTGAACTTTTGCATTATCGTTCCATCGTGATTAAAGGCTACCGGATTGAACACTGATCAAACGTGAGCTGGTCCAGGTTATAGTGTGATGTACCGTCTCCTCTCACCAACAGGGAACTCCTACCGAGCTTCCAAACAGTGGAATGGAAAAGAAACAAGTAAGTCCAATACTTATAGCTAGAAAACGCTGGTCAACCAATGGAGAGTAAGTACCATGAAGACATTTATATAAAAAGAAGTCTGAAGAAGAATTCTACCCCTTCCGTTTCTTTTGCGTTCGGGAAGGGTTCAAAGTGGCTTATCCTCTTGAACGTGCTATGATTTGCTACAGTACCAACCAGTCCCGCTTAGGACACAGAGTACTTCCTAGTTTTTTTAAAAAATTGTCTTGCAGTGGAAGAATCTTGGAGCTAGAGTCAGTGGAATCAAGTGTTAGCTGGAAGGCTCTGACCCTTGCTTCTTGGTCACAGTTGGGCCTGGATCAACTCAGTGCAGCCAGTACTATGAGCAAGAAGCTCCTTCCTCGTTGGAAACGCCCAGGAGAAATAAAATCAATAATGACAATTAAAAACTCCCAGGGTTCCCAAGCAATAAAACTCCTTATGCAGATTTTTTTTCTTTTCTTTTTCTTTTTTTTTTTTTTTTATCAAATATACCTCACTGAAAGGCGAACTTCTGCCCAAAGAGAATATTCTTGCCAGATGCCTTTTTGTGGTGGTCTCACAGTTTGAAGACAAAGGAACTTCCCAGCAACTTCCCAAAGTGCATCCGAGGAGGGGGCACTTCCTGGGTGAAAGATGGGTCCGTAGGAGCAAATATGGCCAAACCGGTCCACGGGCCCAGGAGTCAACGAGGGCGGGACTGTCAGCACTGGAGTCGATGCTGTGGCTTGGTCCCAGGGCGGGTGACACATCCGAGACTCTTATGGCCAATGCTATCGTCCGTGGTCATGCTCCAATAAACTCCCTGCTCGGCGGGGCTACCCGCAGGTAGTCTGCGTTTTCGGCCGCAGGGCCCTTGAAGACGCCGTTGGACTTGGCTTCCTTGGGAAAGAAGTGCTGCTGGTAGTCGGGGTTGTCCAGGCTGACCTGGGGGTTGCCTTTCTGGGCCCAGAGGCCGGGGCCGCCGAGTGCGCTGGTGACGCAGGGAGGGATGGTGTTGAGATACTCAGGGTTGTCCACGGCGTTGCTGTGGGGGTTTTGGTAGTGAGCGTCTCTGCCAGGAGCGGGGTTTAGAGGCTGATTGTGATAGACAGGATTCTGCACAGAACCCGCCGGCCTCTTGGGGATGGACTGGTTTATGTATTCTGAAATGGAAAAGAAATCACAGGTGAAGCGATCGGCCAAGCATCAGCCCCAGCGGACTCCATGGCGCATCTGAACCCTGCTAGTTTTCTCCCACAAGACCACAGAGCATCGGGCGTCTGGCAAGACGACGAGCTCGCTGGTGCTGCAAGGGAAACCGTGTCCTTGTCTCTAGTTCTCAAAGCAATGGGCACATCGGTCTCTTGCCAATTTAACGTTCTCAGAAGGATAGCCTGCCTTGAGATGCATGTGTGCCCACGGGAACATCAGGGATAAAGCTGAGACGAGGCACATGCATGTGTCACAGGCCAAGAGTGGAACCAGGGTCGGATGTGGCACATGCACTTGTGCACAGACACACTCCTCCACACATGCTCACACACTCACGGACACACACACAATCATACCCACACAGTCCTGCTCACACTCACACTCACACACACACACACACACACACACACCTTTGATGTTTGCTTCAAATTCTAGAAAATCTGTGAACTGGTCCTAAAACCACACCTCCCAGCTGGACACGACTTGAGTCCAACACAAAGACCCGAGCGCGTGCTCAGTCGTTTTGTGTTTCTCTGCCTCTTCCTCCCCACAGGTGTCTGCAAGCTTGCCACTGTCTCCACTTCTGGACTGGCTTGAGGAAGCGAGTGGCCTGGGCCCAGGGGATGGAGGCCAGCCCTGCTGGATGCGGGGGCCCAGGTGGGTGACCTTCCTTGTCCAGGGTGAGCCACTCACCGGGTGCTGGGAGAAAAGTGTCATCTATGTTGTCCTCAGTCAAAGTGCCCGTGGGGTCTGAGCTGTACCGCTGCAGGAAGCTGTCTTCTTTGAGGGGATAGCTCTGAGGGGAGGAAATAAGGCAAGGTCACTCCAGTCAGTGCTGCTCAATGCGTATAACAATCACCTGAGCTTCTGTTAAACTGCAGCTTCTGATTCAGTGCGGTCCAAGAAAGTGCCTGGGAGTCTGCATTTCCGACTAGCCCCCAGGGGACGCCCATGCCGGGGGACGCCCATGCCGGGGGCCCACAGACCACAGGCCGAGTGGCAAGGACCTGGTCGGTGCCGTGCAGTAGGGCTTCTGGCAATGACAGAAATGTTCTATGATCTGTGCCCTCCCAGACGGTCACCGATTTAAACTGAAGTCGATGCAGGGGGCCGGGGGCTTCTATACTGGGAAGTGTCGGTCTAGATCAAGGCTTTGTGGCAAGCATCAGCACCCCCGGAAGGCTGGCTCGGACGCGGATGGGGGCTGGCTCTGCCCCTCGCATTCCTACTTCAGCAGGTGTGGGTCGGAGGCTCGGCAGTTCGCACTTGGAACCAACCGCCAGGTGATGCTGCTGGAGGTCCACGAACCCCATTTTGCACAGCACTGGCCTAGGTGAGAGCTGCCTGCTGGCCTTAGGGCAGGGGCTCAGGGCAACCATACAGGAGAAGGAAGGAAGGAAACACAGGAAGGAAAACCAAGATTTGTTGGGGGTAGGATGGGCATTTTCTATGTGCAATAAAGCCGTGACACAGAGCTGTTACTTAATTCGGGTTTATGAGGTGTTCATACGTACCCCGTTTCTGTCAATGCAAGCCACGGTGGAGTTGTTGCTGGTGGCGCTCTGGAAAAGAATCGAAGATGCTGAGGGTCCACGTGCCTTGTCTCACCCACGCCCACCAAATGCAGGACCTGGGGCCTCACGGGGCGGGTGTCACTATGGGGGCTTAACTCGTCCTGACCCATTAGCTTTAGAAAAACTAGGTTTAGTTCAGACTTAATTCTGGTCCCTTAGTAGACCTGAAAAGACTACGGCCCAGTTACTGCAAGGCCATAAAAGAACTAATACACCTGACTGATTCTTTCTGAGTCTGGCCTGACCATTTGCTTAAAACGGACTTCTTCGTCTCCCTGTGAGTTCTGCTGGGGGGGTACCGTTTTCTCTAAGCAACTCATTCAACCCAGCAGACACCGTGCTTGAGAAGGGGGCGCATTTCGTACCAGAGAGCTCAGGAGGGGGGTCCGGGACGTGGAGGGGCTGTGGAAGAAGCCCTGCTGGGGGATGAGGTACTCATCGGCGTCCACCACGTCCTCCATGTCCTCTTCGTCCATCAGTGCGCGGTAAAAATTGGAGTCTGTAGGGCTCGGCAAGTGCATTCTCTCATCTCCCTGGTGCAGAACATTTTGAGACGATCAGTAGGGCCCTGAGAGGCGCCAGTCCACTGTTTGGGCAGATGCCTCTTTGTTGGGCACCTGGTTTATAATAAAATCAGTCCGATTCTCCGCAGAGTAGCGGCTCCTCCCCTCCCCCACATGACAGGAAAATACTAAAAAAATTCTCCGATGTTTAAAAGCCCCTAAATGAAACAGAAACAGCTTAAGAGGAAGAAGAAAGGGATAGAGCAGAATTTATGGAGGGTGAGTTTTGCTGTTAGGTGCTGCCATCTTACAGTTTATGGTAGGAAATATGTTGGAATTCCCAGCGGAAGCCTTTTAAACCCTTGGGATCTCCTCGGGGAGGAGAGTGGCAAAGCTGTCATTGTTATGTTAACCGGGGGCTTTAGGCCCACACCTAAGGATGGGGGTGGTTGGAGGGGTGGGGACGGGGGAGTGGGGGGGCCCACCCAGAGATGAGCGGACTGGACCTCTAGGTCAGCCACACCCCCTGATGTCCTGGAACGGGGAGGGGCTGGAGGTGGACTCAATCACCGTTTGGCCACTAGTTGAACCAGCAATGCCCATTTAATGAAGACGCCATAAAACCCCATAGGGGCTGGGTTCAGAGAGCTTCTAGATTGGTGAACACTTGGGAGTTTGGCGACAGCCACCCAGCGTGAGTAAGGGAATTGCTTGCTGGGAAGTGCACGGAGACCCCCTTTTCCCCACTCCCCCACCACTCGCACCCGAATTGCTAAGCAGAATCTTCAGGGGCTATGCAAATTATTTTGCATACATGACCTCACAGCCCTGTGAGTTTGGTTTTGTTGACCTAAAGCGTTAAGTGGAGACTCAGGGGTTTGAAGGCAGATTTGCTGCCATGAAGGGCCTGCTTCTCCATCAGACGGAGCTGAGGCTCTGGCTGACCGGAATATGATGATGGCACATGGAATGAGCATGTCTGGACGCTAGGATTCAGCCGGGAATGGCAAATGGGGTGGGGGGTGGGGGCGGGGCACCACAGAGGAACTCCACTCCGATCAGTGGGGCCGTGTCTAGTTCTAAGGCGCTGAGGGTTTAAGGACGGGGCCTGGGAGACAAGGAAATGGAATGGGCACGCAATGGAACACAGTGACATTGGACGCTCATGAGAAGGACTCCTCCCCGTGCAAGTTCAGAGGCTGTGATCTGGTACCTGGATGACAAGGTAGCGCTGGGGGTCTCGGGCCATTTTGGAGAATTCAATAATCAGTTCACGGAATTTGGGACGACTGTCAGCATCTATCATCCAGCCTGGGGAAGGAATGAGGAAAACAGCGCCATTAGACCCCGAAAGAAATGGTAAAGACGGCACTGCTTCCAGAAGGCATTTATGGTAAGATCCTTTCAGGCAAGTAAGGGATGCAGAAACCAAATCTTTGTGACAGGCTTTGTAGTCCTGGCACCCTAGCGCTGATCCCAGTTTAAAGACCATGATGACACAAAACACTTGAATCAGAACGACAGCAACATCGTCTAATTTTCAGTGCCTACTCTTCCTGGGGCCGGAGTTCTGGAATTATCACCGTAAGTGTTCCGGCAGCCTTGCATGCATCACTGTTTGTGGACTTCTAAGCCTGCAGGGAGCCTGGCGTCCGGGCTCTCTGGCTCAGTCCTCACGGGGCATCCACTTTCACCTAGACTCGCTTAGCCGTCTTGCCAACTGGAAACTAGACTCAATTTAGGGAAAGTTAGGGACTTTCTTTAAGAGCCTCCAGGTTTGGGAACTCCACACCCTGATGCTTTCATTGTCTTACGTCCTCAGTAACAGAGCACGCAAGTGAGGGGGCGTCGCAGTGCCTTCCCTAGGATCGAAGTCCGGATTGAACAGCTGGAGGAACAGCGATCAGCTGGCAATCCTCGTCTCTCTCGAGGGCTCACATTTATTTTTTATCGGCAGGATGTCAAGTTATTTTAGGACAGACTGCTATGTGACCTCAGACAAACCGTGTGACCTCTCTGGATCCCAGCTTCCTCAATCCACAGCAAGGAAGTTAAAAGTAGGTTAACTCTGTGGTCTGAAGTTGGGAAGGCATTACTATTTACATGGACTTGGCCCTGTCCTACTCCGTGTGCTACCCTCTCCTGCAAGGGCCCCTGACACGTGGAATGTCACCTTCAGAGCCTGCTGAACTTGTCCTTCTGGTGGAACAAGAGCACTGACCCAAGTTACGCACTCTTATTTAGATTACGATGTTTACTTGCTACGCTGCGAAAGACCTCACGTAGATCTCTTATTTGAAGGGGTTAAGTCAAGGCAGAATTGTCGCTTCTATACCAGCCTCGTGGGCTTCTCCTTGTTAGGTGTTTAAAAACATTCGGTCTCTCCAGTAACAGGTTTCAAAATGTGCAGCGCTGTTTTCATTGAGCAACTCAGAGAACAGAATATTTTGGTGTAATGGTTTCTGGGGGAATTTGGTTTTATTTATTTGCTTGCAAACATGGGCACATGCCAGGGCACTGCGCTCAATGGGTCAAGCAAAGGCTTCCTGAAGAATGCTGGGGGAGAGTTTACAGACGTTTCTGGGTTTCGGTGCCACTGTAGAGAATGGGACAAGGTTTTTTTCAGGGAATCAAAGGTCTCAATCTTTTGGCTAAGGGTGGCAACACCTTTCTAGGCACCATAAGGCACTCTGAGTGCTAACATCCAGGTATGCTCGCATGGATGGCTGTGGCAGTCACTCACACTTGACCATGATCATGTAGACATCGATGGTGCATATGGGTGGCTGCGGGAGGCGCTCTCCTTTTTCCAGGATGGTGGAGATCTCGCTGGCGGGGATTCCGTCATAAGGCTTGGACCCGAAGGTCATCAACTCCCAAACGGTGACGCCTGAGAGGATGAGACAGTTGCTTTATGAGTTGGTAATAATCACCACGCCTTGTCTTTAGTCATCATTTAAACTTTTCTGATCTTTAAAAACCTATGTTTCTGTGGCTTTGAGCAATTTGCCTGACTGCCGGAAGCCTCAGTACACCTTTCTGTATAGTGGAATAATGACGGTATCTGTCTTACGGGATAGTTGTGCAGATCAAAGAAGAAAAAGCAACTGAAAAGTTCAGACAAAGGCAGATAGTAAGTGGCCAATAAATGTTAAAACTTGAGTGATAGCAACAAGGACAAGTCAACCACTATAATGACATAAGGAGCAGGAGTTACACACTCAGAACATCTGCCCTAAGCTACTTGTATCTATGGAAGATGGAGACCGCAGACAAGGTTGTACACTGCGTATTTTAAAATAATAATAAAAATTGGGAACCAGAAAACTCTACATTCCTTTTAAAAAAACATCAAAACCCCATACTTTTTGTTGCAAAAATCAATAAAATCCATCGTCATGATTTAAAAAAAAAGCAGTACTTTTAGACTTGGTGTTTTTCCAGACCATCCCTGAGTTCTGATGATTCTTCTATCTCTATGCCTTTCTTGTTGGGATTCTCTGCTCTAGAAATCCCCACCATGAAGGTGCCCTGGGGTGACCCTAGAGGTGACCCCAGTGGGATTGAGCCTGGGTCCCCAGACTACACAGGAAGGGACCAGACACGGGATCCTGCCAGTTTCCTGATCTCCAGCTGGTCTAATGATTCATTTTCTCTAGAGCTGGCCTCTAGATACACAGTCCCACAGGTCAGCCTGGATTATCCAGAGGCCGTCCCAGAGCTGAATGACCTGAATACAGAGCATGCAACTTTGAAGAATGAAGCAAAGTCATGGTCCAAGGGCAAGAACATAGATTCTCCTGTCCCTCCTCACCACAGCGTCAACATGGACTTGATGAAAAAATAAAATCTCATTTCCAGATCCACGAAGTCAATTCATCCTAACGAGGTTTAAACATTATGTTAAACACGTACAATGCCTTCCTGTGGGACAGCAAGCTCTCCAGGTTTGGGGACAAATGGTAAGAGAGAAAGTGGTGTGCATACCTGGTGGTGGCTTTTGAGAGGGCCTGGAACGAGGCAGGCATTCTCTCTTTTCAACTCCTAAGTGGAATGCATACGTACCTAATTTATTAAAATATTCTGTCTTGACTGGAGGCAAGGGAGTGGAGTAATAGGATTTGTTTTTTAAAGATTTTTATTTATTTATTTGAGAGAGAGCATTGAGCATGCACAAGTGAGCAGGGGGTAGGGCAGAGGGAGAGACACTCTCTCAGCAGACTCTGCGCTGAGTGCAGAGCCTGACGCAGGGCTCCATTTCACGACCTGAGCTGGAATCAAGAGTGGGGCACTTTAACTGACTGAGCCACCCAGGTGCCCCAATAAGATTTTTTTTTTTTTACTTTTTTAGATTTATTTATTTATTTGAGAGAGAGAAGGAGCATGAGTAGGGGTTGGGAGGCAGAAGGAGAGGGAGAAGCAGACTCCCCGCTGAGCAGGGACACCCCCCCCCCCACAATGCGGAGCTCAATTCCAGGACCCTGGGATCATGATAAGATTTGTTTTTTTAAGCTAGAACTTCAGGTCTGTGGTTTAACAATTGCACTTACTGCCAGGGACAGCAGATTATAATCACCGAAAACACATTTCCACCGAAATGAAACAACACACAATCACTAGAGGGATGCTAACTTTCTGACACCGCTTGTAATCATCCAAAGGCAGGAAGTCGCAGAATTTAAGAGAGTTCTCATTTACTCAACAAATGAGGACCCACTCCGGACAGCGGTGAGTTGGCCCATGCTGGCTGCCGCACGGAGGGGAAGGAGGAAAATGCAGCCTCGTGATTCTGGAAAGGCCGAAGGAGCCAGGCCGCTCAGGAGCTTGGGTTTTGTTTGGAACATATGTGGAAAACCAAAGAAGGCTATTAAGCAGAGAATTAAAAGTCTGCTATGGTTTAAAACTATTTTGTTGTCTGTTGTCTGGAGAATAGACAAATGTGTGCAGAACGAGGAGAGAGAAGACCCGTCAGGAACCTGAGGGAAGGAGGCGACAGTGGAGTTGCCTCTGGATGGGACTTGGGAGTGGGACAAGTAGCATTTTTCCCTGTCCCTCTTGGGGAGCAGACACACTGTGAAAATGACTAAAACAACAAGGCATCAGAATAGCCTTATGTCCTTATCTAGTTCATTGGTTGCAGGCAGCTCTGCTCACAGGTATGTGTAAAAATTCACCTGTTCAGCGAGAAAGATCTCTGTCTTTGTAAAGCCTGCATCCTAGCAGAAGAGACAAAGATCCATGAAATTGAAATACATTTAGAATATCAGGAAGTTAATAATGCTATGAAGGAAAAAAAGAACCTAAGTAGATGATGTCTTGAATGATTTTTTTGTGATAACAACTGGATTCCTCTTGGAAATCTGCCTCAATACTACTCTCCCCAAACACCCATTTCTGCGGAGACGGGGTGGCCCCTCCTCATGCCCCCTGTGACTTGAGTAGTGGGGATAGATGCTAGTTCACAGATAAATGCATCAGATGAGCTATTTCGCAGGCTTCCAGCAGACTCCTGGACTTGTGACAGTGGGTTAGTGACACTTTCTTCAATGGTGAGGCCCTTGTAGGCTTAAGACATCCTTTGTACAAAGGCAATGAGGCAAGAAGAGGAAAGGCGTGTTGGGGAGGAGGGGCACAGGCCTGGGCAAGGCCACAGTGGGATTTGGAGGGTGAAACAGAGAATCTGTCCTGAGGAAATGTCTTCCCTAGAACTGCAAGCAATCACTATTTCCCTTGCTTCCCCCCCCCCCACAGACACATCTCCCAGTGCACTCCTGTCAAGCCCTTCTCCCCAACACACACAGACTTCCATTCACTGCATGAAACAGTGGCCACTGAGTTAGTCCATCACACAACCTCATGCTTCTCCCCGGAAAACCCCATTTGTCATCTCCCTTTGGTTCACTTCAAACCCATGACAAGAGGTCAAGTTTGGTCTGATGCTGCAGGTCTACACATTTCCTAAGTCCAAGCTCTCTCTCCCTCCGTTACCCGCTCTTGACAAGTTCACTGATCTCTCCAGTGACACGTAATGTGCTAGTTAGACCCAATTTCCTTTGTCATGTTTTCTTAGTAGAATAGACAGTGACTACTACGCTATTATTAGTTCCTGTCTTGGAAGAAAGTATTTGGATGACAGAGCATAGAATGTCAATCAACAAACAATTCAAGCCGGCTTCTGCTCAGTACGCATTCATTAGCATCAAGATTTTGACTCACCGTAGCTCCACACATCACTTTGGTGGGTATAAATTCGGTGTAAAATTGATTCCAAAGCCATCCACTTGATAGGCACCTTGGAATGATGAGAGAGGAAGTAATAAGATAAGCATTAGCTTCCCTCTGTTGCAAAAAATTAAATCATGTTGAAACAAATTACAAGCGACAAATGTGGGAAAGGCAGGACACCCCACCTTGATACCCCAGGATGAGTGCTCCCTCCCAGGAGGAGGAGCAAGTTTTTAAGCTGGTAGAAAACAGGGCTATTCTGTTCAGCCCCAGGTGTGGTTTCATGAAGGCCTCAGCTGAGGACCTTTGGTCTGTGGGCTGTTCTGGTGAACTGGGTGCACATGCCAGGGGCTGGGGTTTCTGGTGGTGCACGGTGGTCCCAGCCACCCCTCGATTATGGGTGTTTGCAGAGACCAGCTGCTTGGAGCCGTCCAGGTCAGAGTGAAACTTAAGAGGGGTACAGCTGATTCAGAGCTATTGGAGGGCTTAGCATGGGCACTTGCACCTCCCCCCATGCTGGGAGAGAGTCCCCTGGAGGACCCCAAGTCTGTCTGGGAGGAGGGAGTCTAGGGAGGCTCCCAAGGGAGACTTCGGAGCTCTAGGAATGGCATGGGGAGTTTTCCATATTTCTGAGATGTTCTCAGTAGCTGCATGCCACCAAATTAGCTGTGATATTTCCCAACTGCTCTCCTGAAGGGAGTGGTCATGGAGAAAGAACCTTGGCTAATGGTCACCCAAAGATGGAGCCGAGCTCGTGTTTATTGGCTTTGGCCTCTGGATGTGATAGAAACATCTATTTTCACTCTCCCTGCAAATCCTGCTCTTAGAGCAGCCCCTCTGGTCTGTACTTCCAGAAGAGGACCCTGGCTAGACTCAGGTGTCCATGGCTGCTGCTGTGACCTCACCCAGAATGTTCTGAGAACGTCCCCTCCATCGGTCAGTCTGCTGGCGAGTGAATGCTCGCCGATCTACGAGCCACGTCTTACCTTGCCTCCTTCTGCATGGTATTCTTTCTCCTCGGCACCAAGCAGCTTGGCCAGCCCAAAATCTGTGATCTTGACGTGCTGTGGTGTCTTCACCAGGACATTTCTGGCTGCCAGGTCGCGGTGCACCAAGCGCCGGTCCTCTAGGTAGTTCATGCCCTGCAACACGGGGCCATGCAGTGAGGGAACGCATGGCTTAGCAGACTGCCCCGGGGAGCACAGAGCGGGGTTCCAGCACGGATGGCACGGTTCTGCTCTGTGGAAAGCGGGCGCCTGTGCACAGGGCTCTGACGTCCTGTTCCCCCCAGACTCGGAGCTTTCCAAACTGGGGGCTGTGTCTGCCCTCGTCTCTGTGCTTCGCCTGATGGACACAGTCCCTTGCACCTTGCGAACACTAGTAACTACCAACTGAGTAGATGCAAAGACAAATTAAGGAGGATATCATGAGCTGCTGATTTGCTAACTTTCCTCCAGCCAGTAACTCATTTTAAACCCAGATGAACCAAGTATTGGAGGGTAGTGATGGAGCAAGAGCTCTGCTGTCGGGCTGAGACCTGGCTGGGAGCTTGTCTGGAACTTGGCAACCATGCCCCTGCCTGGGGTCGCCCTCCCTACGCGCAGCTGACCTGGAAAGCAGGGAAGGTAAAGCCGCTCCCCAGGCTGGGAAGCCTTGCACCCCTCATGCTCTCCCACACTACCTGCTGTGATTCACTACCAATGGATGACATTTTTTTTTCCAGTGTTATTTCCTCGTTTTTAAAATTGAAATCACATGGACGTTGAATTTGCTTTGACAGGTGGCACTTCCCTCCGCCGACCCTAACCCTGTCCCGATCAGAATCACAGCTGAGAGAAAGAGTATTTGAGAAGTGCCTAGCACAGTGCTTGACATGTGAATTCCCGGAATTATTCCCCCTCAAGTCTGGTCCTTGCCCACAGTCTTCTTGGCGGCCGTCATGAGCTCTTTGGGAGGGCAGGCGGGGGTCGCTTCCAGCCTTGACTCCTCCTAGCTCCGTGCCTGCCTCGTTCAGCTAAGCTCCCTGGGACCCTACCAAGCTCCAACCGTTGACATGAGCTTGGCAGCTCCCACCCCGTGCAGGGCCAGCCTGGCAGGCGGGAGACGCCGTAAGCCCCGCAGGTATCTTGTGTTTGTGCCACATTCTCTGCCACTTACTCACGAATGTGGCTCGCTCTCTCTGGCCAGGGGCGTGGACCCCGTTTCCAACCTCCCTTTTGGCTGACACTCAAGAGCTCTCCAGCAAAGACAGCCCAGAAGAGCTTACTGAAGTGCATGAAATGCAAACGAACGGGCTTCACCCACACGGCTTTAGTCTCTAACTTTCTCCAAGCTGCGGTGGACTCTCCTTGGGAGGGCAACGGCGGGGAGAACCTGTCACTAGGGATGGAGTCCCCAGTTTGCTGGCAAATTCTTTGCTTCCTTTGGCAATAGATAGTACGTGAAAATTCTTCGTGAATTATGAAATTATGAAATTAAAATTATTTTCTTTCTGGAGCAGAACTAACCCTCCTAGGAAACTAGGATCTTAGGAAGATGCGACCAGGAATTAGCCTTTGGGGGTCATTTTTGAGGACTCTCATTTTTCTTTCTTTGGAAAAAGATGATTAATTCCCATGTCTCCCTTCTCCCTCGTATGATCTAGAAAGTTCTGAATGTTTAAGATGCTGTTGGATTTAACTGCTCCCCTCCTAAGATTCCTCAGATGCAGCAAATTAAGGTTAACAGGGCTCGTGTCTACTCAGGAGGAAACCAGCAGGTTCTCTCTGGCACAGCATTTCTAAATTAGGGATTATTATTTAGGAATGGCATGTGGGGAGCGAGAGGGAAGGAGCAGAAGCTGAGAAAACTCCTCCAAACAGAGGACTGACTTACTACTCCGTGTCCCCTCTCCCCACGACGCCGTCACTGGGTGCCCCATTCAATCAGCTTTCCTTTCTCCTTTGGTTCCTGGGACCTTGCTCTTACAAAAAAGCAAGGCCTCGCTCTATTACATATGGTGTGCTCTGCCCCATTCAGAAAGAGTTAATTGCACTTGGCCTCTTTGCTGGTTCACGAACATGTGCACTCCCGCCTGTATTAGCTCACTTGCTCTCTCTCTCCTTCCGCCTCTCTCTCGCCCCGGTTTTCTCTTGTTCCTTTCACCCAGTGTCGCTGGCACTGCTTCTGCAGACATTTCCCCAAGACCTCCTCAGGGCTAGATCTGTGTAGGCGTGGCACGGCCGTGTCAGAATGATCATATGTCAGTGTTGGACAGACAGCAACCAGTCCAATCTTGCCCTGTCCCTCTCGCTTTATTTCAAATACGTGTTTTCTGAGTTCCTCCGAGCCACCCAGGGTGGACAGGGGGTACTTCAGAGGGAACCACCAGCTTCCTTTCACTACCATCTCAAACTTCTCATTCTGCCTCTTTGAATGCCCCACCGTCTGGACACTGGCCACCTTTTCACCAAGGTTGCTGCAAAATGAACGAATGGAAGAATCAATGAGTGATAATAGCAGCTGACAGTTTGGAGCTCTGACGATGTGTGGGTGTTTCCAACCCATCTTCCAAGAAGCCTGCTCTGGGGCTGGAGTGCTGTTGCCCCCAGGACCACCCCGAGAGCCGCCTCAGCGGGTCCAGAGGCCTGTCGGACCAAGTGCGCCGAGTCCCCAAGACCACTGCTGGGACTCGGTCCTAATTTCCTGCTGCGGCCTCCACGTGAAACTTGCCTGCTGGCCCAGAGGCTGCTTGAGATATCAAAGAAACTCCAAATAAGCAAAAAACCCAGCCACCCAGCCCCTTGGCCCCATGCCGCAGAGTAAGTCCACGTTGTTGTGCAAACCTAATAAACTGACCTGAGCCCCCGCCCCCCTGTCCCCCTTGGGTCTGCAAAGGACCAGAACAGCTTTACTAAATCGTGCTATTTCTGGAGAATATCCATCTTCAGGGAGGGCTTGGGAAAGAGCCCTTTCTTTAGGCCTTCTGGAGCCCCCCCAGCCAATCAGTCAGAGGGGTCTACATCAGAGATCCCAGGCGGCCAGATGAGGCTCACTTGAACTCAGATAAAACTCTATTCATCAGTCTCTGTCCCACACCACGGAGGTGAGGCGGTTTAAAAGGCCATCTCCACAACCAGCGAAGTTATATTTTAACGAGTCAGCATAGATAAGAGCCCTGATAAGAGCCCCTTTAAACAGGAAGCGGCATCCGCAGGGGGCCTCAGTGGGGCCCCTTGGGAAGCTCCTTCCTGATTCCTCTCCGATGTCTTCACTTTAATTGAAATCAACGTTATTTATTTGCGTTAATGACTACTGGACGGCTAGGATGAATTCTGAAATACGGAGGTTAGAAGGGGGTGTGAAGAGCCCGGCTGGAACCTCAAAGCACCAAGGAGAAGCCCGGGGGTATGGCTCACATGGATTTCAAGATTTTTCTGGCACCGACACCTATGACTGAAGGAAGGACTGGGGGTGGTTGGGTTGGACATTTACAGACTTTTCCAGAGGGCTGCAGCATCCCACAACTCTTGGGGGGAGTCCAGAGGGAGAAGCTGGAATGGGCTCCGTCTCTGTTCTGTTTCATAAACTGCCACGGGGAGAAGCTGGGGGAGCGCTGACTTTGTGAGGACAGAAATGGGACACAGCAGGAAGTGGAGAGGCTGGCAGATGGTTTTGGCTGAGTTCCATCAACGGTATGTCTCGCCCACCCCTGGGCCCCTGCCCTCAGAAGAGGTAGAAAAGGGTCAGAATTTCCCACCCCAGACGAAGTCATATGGCACCAATATTGTACTGTGGCAGGGACCGGGGACAGCCAGGCTCACTGGCTCATGGTTTCTGCTCCGAGTCATGCCAGCAAGTGCGAGAGCATGGACTTGAGATCCTGGCTGCGTGGGGTCCAGTCCGGATGTTGCTACATACTAGCTCAAGACCTTGGCAAGCTATTTAGACAGCCCCATGCCTCAGTTTCCCTGCATGTAAAGCGGGCTAATCCGATGGTTAAGTAAGTTAAGCCACGCAGAACATAGGATGGTGCCCGGCGAGAGTCCTCCGTAGGAGCTAGAGTTTATCACGGTTTCCTCCTAGATGCCAAGTCCCCCCTCTTTTCTCTACGCATGTGCTGTGAGCCTGAATTAGGTCACTGTAATAGTCTGCATAGCTCACAGTTTCCCGAAGAGTCTAATCCTGCATCAACTCCTGAGAAGCCTTTGCTTGTGAGATGAAGCTGTCTTCTTATGCGGGCACGCAGGGCCCCGCGGGGTGTCGGCTTGTCGTCCCCGGCTTGGCACTGGCACCCGTTTCTCTCTGCAGCAGCCCTTAACATCTCTCAGCCACGGAGCCCCTCTGTGTTCTCACCACTGGGCAACGTCCTGTCCCAGTGTGTGCATCTCACACACGTCTCCAGCACAGAACTCTGGAGGCTAAGAGACAGGATGACTTGCCTGCCCACCTCCTTCTCCTCCAACCCTCGCCCCGCTATCCTCCCAGCACCTGGGGCCGGGCTGACAGACTGAGCTCCCCTAGCTGGTCCCCGCCCACCCCAGCCCTGCCCTGTGCCCTGCATGCTCCCAGCTCTCCTGCTCCGACCACCCGTTCCCTACAGCACTGCTAGCTCTGTATGGATCTGTTTCCCTCTCTGGTGTATAAGTTGGGGAGAAAAGAAATTTTGTTTTATTTATTTATCTACAGCACCTGATTCCTAACACTGGCAGATAAATGCCCAAGAAATTACTAAGTGAAATATTTATAAAAGCTGATATTTTGATACTTTTTTTTTTTTTTTTTGAGAGAGAGATAGAGGAAGAGAGAGCACAGGCAGTGGGAAAGACAGAGGGAGAGGGAGAAGCAGACTCCCCACTGAGCTGGGAGCCCGACATGGGGCTTGATCCCAGGACCTGGAGATCAAGACCTGAGCCGGAGGCAGACGCTTCACCATCTGAGCCACCCAGGTGCCCTGATACTTTAACATAATGATAACTTCTGGCTTTTTAATGACACCCTGCAAAGTGATCATTTAGGCTGATTAAGTTCACCTGTAATCTTTAGTGGACCATTTAAGAATAAATTAAAAAAATAATCCAAATTAGGGAAATGTCTGGTAACAGGATGCTGCTGGGCTCTGTCACTGATCTGCCTTGTTGGCTGAAGTATGGAGCCGTGTGCTTCCGGGGGAATCAGCTCCAGTAGAGTCCTCCTTCCTGAATCAGCACCCTCCCTTGGGCTGCACCTCGACCCTCCCCTTGATGAGTCCTGACCTGCAGCCTGGAAGGAGCGAGACTGAGTGGGGAAGGCCAGAGCCCACATGGGAGCAGGACGTTGTGCACAGAGGTGAGTGTGTCCTTGCCGCCACAGCCTGGTTGGACTGACGGACTGTAGCCCCTTTTTGAGTTCCTTGTCGGGCATGATTCTCCGTCTCTCACACCCCTGCTGGTCTATTAGGACCACAGTACAGTGTGTCGACATGGGTTTCACGACAGGGCACCCAGAACGGAAGACAGGCGGCCCGGACCGGTCTGGCTACGTCCGGGGACAATGATCCCCTTCTTGCCCCCCACTCGGACATGATAACCTATAAACAGCTCAGCCCAGCCCGTCTCCTCCCCTTTTAACTGCTCCCATGTCCTGACTGTTCTGAAAATGCGCAGCCAACGAAAACACCCGAGGCTTTTTCAAATGAACCTAGACCAAACGAAGTAATCCCGCATGCTTAAAAAAACAAATCCTTTGAACCGACTTTTTAAGTTTGCCCTATTCAAACTGTATCTTGTAGATTGACTTAAATGCAGCTTGGTGTATGTACAGTTGTGGTCGGAGGATGAGGCCGCACAGCGTGTCTGGGAGCCTCTCCCCCCACTGCCGTCTGTCTCCAGACCTCTCCAGAGCCTGCTCTCGAGGGTCCTCAACTTCTGGCAATTACTCAAAAACCCCAATTCTGTGAGATCTTAATCTGGGTTAGGTGATAAGCAAGCTCTTTTTCCCAGAGGTTTGGGAAATGTCAGATTAATCCGTCCAGAGAGCTTCGTAGTAACATGCACTGTGGCGGATGCTCTAAGGGGAAGAAACTCGCACAACAGCAGCGTTTTCCAAGCGACGGGATGATAAGGTGATAGGATCTTCCAGATTAGAACATTTTATGACATTATGGCGCCATCTGATATCATTGGGGACTTACTGGCTGGGTTATGTAGCCAGAAAAGAGTGGATACGCTTTCTGAAGTAACCAAGTCCCAGCACGTGGGGGCCGCCCAGGGGCCCATGAGCCAGGAGCTTAGGAAGCAACGATCTCTCTGCCAGGGGAGCAGCGGGTGTCTCCACGAGCTCCTGCGGCCAGAGAACAGAATCTGTTTCCAGCACGTTCGACGAGAGGCCGTGGCTCTCTTCTCTCCGTCCCATCCGGACTTCCTTCCTAGCCTACTCACTTCGCTTTGCTTTCCCTTTTGCCCAGGTGCTAGAACGTGTCCTCTTAGCAGATCAGGCAGGGCAACAAGCTTGCCTAACAGTGGCCGGCTCTCCGTCAACATTTAGAAAACGTCACAGGAGAGTCCATGCCTTTGTGAATCAAGGCAGGTCATTTATATGTCAATAAATCCCACTTAGAAAATGCCAGGAGTGAGAATGGACTCTGTCGTCCTCTGGAATCGTAAGCACAGGTCCATGCTGAACAGAACTCGCTGAGGCTATGTACCCCAACTAGTGTCACCTTCGTGGAGCTGTGGACTGACATGACATAATGAGAGAAGAAGTGCTAGCTCACCCGGCACCCTCTGGGGAACCGGGCCTTGGAATCAGGCAGAAGCTGGCCGCAGGTGTGCGGAGCCCTGGAAGCCTGGCCCAGGGTAGGGACAGGCCAGGACACCCCCCCACCTTTTTTTTTAAAGATATTATTTATTTATTTGACAGAGAGAGATCACATAGGCAGAGAGGCAGGCAGAGAGAGAGGTGGAAGCAGGCTCCCTGCTGAGCAGACAGCCCGATGCGGGGCTCGATCCCAGGACCCTGGGATCATGACCTGAGCCAAAGGAAGAGGCTTTAACCCACTGAGCCACCCAGGCGCCCCAGGACACCCTTCTTACGGAGCTCACCGTCCAGCTGGGGTAGGTGGGCACAAACTCAAGTGAGCCAGTAAATAAGCCAGATCTTCCCAGGTAGCAATTTGCGATAAAAAGAAAAGCAGGGGGTGCCTGGGTGGCTCAGCTGGTTAAGTGTCAGCCTTTGGCTGGGGTCATGATCCTGAGGTCCTGGGATCGAGTCCCCACATCGGGAGGGACTGAGCAGGGCGCTTGCTTCTCCCTCCCACTTGTGTTCTTGCTCACACTGCTCTCTCTTGCACTCAAATAAATAAAAAGTCTTTAAAAAAAAAAAAAAGAAAGCAAACAAAGCAAAGTAACATTGTCTGCATGGGCGGGGGCATACTCTCTGTTTCTTGCCATAGATAATCAGGGAAGAAAGCTAAGGAAGGACTTCTGGGCTCAGGCGTCCATGTATGAGTAGATCCTCAGGAGTAATGCTGTATTCGGTAAAACCTGCATGGGCTGACCATCACCTCCTCCAGATCAGCCACTGTCCTGCACTGAATAGGGCCCTAAGTGCCAGGTCGACCAGAAACCTCAGAAAGTGACTTTGTTTGGACACAGGGTGTTGCAGATGGCATCAGGCAAAGGTCCTGGATGGACGCACCCTACAGGATGCCTGGGCGGCTCAGTGGGTTAAGCCTCTGCCTTAAGCTCAGGTCGTGATCCCAAGATCCTGGGATTGAGCCGGAGCTGGGCTCTCTGCTCAGCAGGGAGCGTGCTTCCCCCTCTCCCTCTGCCTGCCTCTCTGCCTCCTTATGATCTCGATCTCTCTCTCTCTCTGTCAAATAAATAAAATATTTAAAAATATATATGTGTGTATATACATATATATGTTAAAAAAAAAAAAAAAGAAAGCATCCTGCACTTAGGGATGACTGGTGTCTTTTAAGAGAAAGGAAAACGCGATTTAGACTCAGACACAGGGAACAGCTGTGTGAAGACCTAGGTACCAATGGGAGGGACCGTGAGCCCGGGAGGACCTGGAGCCGAGCCTTCAGAGGGGGCAGGCCCAGCCTCACCTTGACTTTGGACTGGCCTCCAGAACTGTGAGTGGATACCTCTCTGTTGTGGTCAGCCACCATGAATCTGTGGTAATTCGTGGCAGCCTTAGGAGCCTAATCCAGTCACACACAGAAATAATGAACATTTCTCATGAAGTCACAGCACCGGCAGTGCACACCCTCTTCCAGGACCCCTGTCTACTACCGACAAAAACGTCCTTGACCCTGTGACCTGGTGATGGCTGCGAGAAGGACGAGAACACAGGGGACTGGCGGTGGTCGGAGGAGGTGCCAGGAGCCTCCAGGGGCTACAGCGGAGAAATTGACACCAGACGGCGCCGGAATAAACTGACTATCGCTACGACCAGGGGAGGGACGGGCAGTCAGGGCCCAGACAAGGCCTGGTGGAAGTCGGGCTTTCTGACTCCGGAGCCTTGGCACACCCCTCCACACCCTGCTCCACGGTGGAGCTAACCAAGGGGCAATGACAGACGCGCTCAGAAAGGGGCCCGCCCACAAGTCCCCTGCGTTCGACTGGGTAAAAGAGTGCGAGAGAAAGCGAGAATGTAGCATTTGGGTTGCAAGTAACGGGTGCAGTGCTGGGATCAAGAGGGAGAAGTTGGAGATTAAAGTAAGAACTCCTTGGGAGGCCATGGGAATGGCTAAGTACCCAGCACGTGTCCTTAGCACGCAGGTGGGGTCCCTGGTCCGCAGGCTCGTTCTCAGCCGTCCCTCACTCTAGAACGAGGCTGTTAATAGGGACAGGGAGAGGCACGGGAGGAATCCCAGCAAAGCAGACACATCTGTTCCCCTGCTAGTGCTCCTCCAACCTGCACAGCAGATCTCGCACCCAGCACCTGCTCTGCCTGCACAGCCCCCTGTCTTCTGGGGCTGCCCAGCCCAGCCCCAGTCTCCTCACTTGCCTTGAGAGCAAGTCCTGATGGGGCAGAAGCCACAGCTCCCCCTACTACAAATCACCCTAACATTCAACACAAAGAACATCCGGGAAGTAACACTAGCCTCACACCACACCAAGCACCTAATAAAGTGAATGGTGTGTAAACGGAGCTGAATAATTAGATTTCCCCCATGCAGCGGGACAGGACCTGATTGGATGCAAAACACAATTCATTTGACTGGGTCCCAAACAAAATGCCCTTGGTGTGTGTGGGTACACACTGACACACACACATACCCAGGATTGAGTTATCCCAGGATGGAGAACCTGTTGATTTTCGGGATGTCTCGATTCCCCCCACTGCTGCTTTTCTTCACGGCTCTCACGAACGAGCATAGCATCCCAGGGGAATGGGGGTGGGGGGGGGGGGGGGGGGGGCAACCGGCTGAGGCTGCTGCACCTACTGTTAGTGGGAATTTCTGCTCTACTCTCAGAGCTGGGTGCCTGCTCTGTGCACACTGCTCTGGGTAGAGTCCCCCTTGACTTACCTTTGCAATCTGCACACACCAGTTGAGCAGGTACTGGGAGCCGATGTTGTCCTTGTGCTCGCGGACGTAGTCCAGGAGGCAGCCAAAGGGCATGAGCTGTGTGATCAGCTGGACCGTGGAGGTGAGGCAGATGCCCAGGAGGCGGCAGACATGAGGATTGTCCACACTGGCCATCACATAGGCTTCCTGCGGGGAGGAGAGGAGAGGAGAGCGTTAGAAGGGCTCCGCACCGTGGCTAAAGGGAGAGGAAGGCAGACCCCTTTCCAGGTTTAAAAACATTTTAAAAAAAGCAAAGCGCAGGCATGATTTTGAGTTCTAGAATGTGTACCGGGGGAGGACAGGGTGTCCCGTGAAACATTCAGTGCAATGGACATTTACGCCGGGACTGTCATTTTGTGGCACAGCACACCCTCTGAGCGCGATGCAAGGACTCGCCTGGACAGAGAGACCCAGGCTGCGTGCCCTAGCGGCACAATATTGAACGAAAACGGGACCTGATGTCTCTGGGTGTGAGCGCTGCTGGTGCCTGTGTTGGCAAGGCCCTGTCCCAAGGCTAAATAAATCTGCTGCAGTTTAAGATGTTGTCAGCACCTGCACACATCCACGTTCGGGTCCCTAAGGCTCGACTTTCCCACTGGACTGAAATACACACGCGGAGGTAGGGCCGCAGGAAAGCTCCCGGCCGGCCGGGGTCATTGGAGCCAGACTTCGCTTCCCACCAGGGCTGGAGACGCCCCTCCAGGGGGCCTGTTTCAGGCTTTGAACTGGACGGAGGGCAGCCCTTAACGGGAGTCCCAGGCTCTACCGGCAGCTCAGGATTCATTTCTGGACAGAGGTGGTCTGTGTTGCCCTCTGCCTCAGTCTCGAGATGGGAAACCACGCTGCTCTGCGAAGCGCCCCCCTCATTTGACTGGCTGCCAAAGCAGGAGCCTTTGTGGACCCAGACCCATGCCTGTGGGCTTTATGTGAACTTCCTCCTATTCTTGGGCAGAGGAAGAGCAAGTGTGCATGCAGCAAGGGCCCTCCTCTCTTCCATCAGACCGAGAATTAGGGAACCCTTGCTTTCCTCCCATAAATTCTCCCTTTCAAACACAAAAGGCGGTGACCTTGAATTGAGCTGTGAAAGGGACCACATGGCCAGCAAGAGGGAGCTCTGAGGTTCCTTTCTGTATTTCCAGACTGCCGTGGGTGGGGTGTGGACTTGGGGACGCAGCGTGGCTGGGATGAGAGCACTGAGCTGACCGAGAAGACAGAGTGGGGCTAGGGGTGGAGGCACAGACACGGATTCCTAACACAAGCCAGACCACACCTTGTTTCTTGCCTTAAGCCCTCCTCCAGCCTCACAGTTCCTGGGCAGCCCCATGCCTAGCACAGCTGACCCTCCTCCAGAAACCCCCCCTTCCTGCCCCTCCTAGTTCTCAGCTCTCTCAAACCTCCTTCAGGCCCTCGCCCATAAGAGGGCCTTTGCCTGGAATGCCCTTCCACCTCTGCTTTCCTCGTCTGATGACTCCTCCTCCTCCTCCGCCTCCTCCTCCAAGGGGCCTTCCTGATTCCCCGGTCTTAACCTCTCCTGGCATCTTGTCCTTTTTCCTTGGCCCAGAACTTGCTCAAGACGCAAATTTTTGGGCCCCACCCAGGCCTACGGTGTGAGAGGCAAGGAGGTGGAGCCCAGCCCTCTGTTTGAACAAAACCTCCACGGGGTTCTGAGGGGTTTGGAGCTCTCGCCATAATCTGCACTTAAATACTTCTGTGATTTCGTAAAATGTCCTCCCTCCCCACTGAGCTCCTTAGGGGAAGGACTGCATTCTCAGCTCCCAGCATTTGCTCAGTGCTTTTTGGCACGCTCTTTTGCTGGCAAACACAGCTATTTACTGCCTCAGTATCCCCTACATGTTCCTGCTGCCTGGGCAAGTCAAGTGACTACCTCGGCCCCACGTCTTTCCTCTTTTGTCTTTGCAGAGGTACCGAACACTTAGGCACAGAATGGCCTCCAAAATGTTAGGTCTGGACTACGCTGCAGTCACACAAAGCCAGAAATTTAAAGCAAGTCAGAGACGACACACTTCCATTAACAACAACAAAAATTCCCGTAGCTTTTAACGTTCGCTGTCTGGAAGTTTCCTGAGTGGTTCGGCCCTCTCCTTGCAAGTTGGGCTGGCCTTTCTTCTTCTGTACTGTAAACATCATATCACAAAATCAGAGAGCAGACATGTGATTCTGAAAGACCTGCAAACATCAGGGCTGTTGATAAAAAGTAGGAACTGGAAAGCCCCATATGTGCATTTCTTCTGAGGCCCTGACAAGGGAAATGAGGCCCAGAGATGTGAATGGCTAACTGGAGACACTCTGTGTCAGATCTGGGGCCCCATGTGGGTCTCCCCACAAGGGCGACACCCTCTGCAAGCCCCTCGTCACCCCACGGGTCCTGTGGCCTCCGGTGGTGCCCTGCTCAGTGCTCCGCTGAATGGGCTACCAGAGAGCTCAGGACCTCCCTACACACACAGCACATACACAAACGTTTGCATTCTTTTTCCACTGCCTGCCCTAAATTTAAACTGGAAAGTCTATGGAAAAATTAATAGGCCATGTGATTGCCAGAAAAGCACAAATCACGTCTCTCCCCCAAGTCTGGGAAACCGTACAACCATAACACCAAAGAAATCCTCTGGCCGCTCCTATTTTCTCAAGATCTGGTTGGGATTTGGACACATATTGTATTCATTTTGGAGGAGAGAAAAATCTGCAAACCAGAGCAAGTTTGAGCAGCCCATCTGTTGCGGGGCTGTGAGGAGCTGACCTGGACCCGGGCATCGGGGAATAGAGCACCGGGCGTGGGTGTCGGGCCACACAGAGCCTGGAGCTTGGCCAGATCCCCATCCTCTTAAAATCTGATAGAGCCGCAGAACGAGGTCATCACTTCCGCCCCACCCCCAAGGACAATGGAGACGCTGTTCCGTCGTATGTTCTGTTTGGTGCACTGCAGAAGTTAAAGCTAGCTTTGTTCTTAGCTGTTTATCTTGGAATCTCAAAGGTGTACTGTGGCCCGTAGCAAGAATGCTTGGTATTCTACAACAATCTCTGACCCGGGCGCTCCGGCCAGGCGCCCCTGTTCAGAGACCCCAAGGCTGATGTTTCAGTCACATGGCTTGGAGGCTCCGTGACCTTGAAAGTCTATGACTTTGTCCCCGTTGCCAAGATGATCTTTGGTGCCTGCCTTCTTGCTGGTCTCCCTCCTCTGTGAACTACTTTAGGTTGAGGATGGGGGGAAAGGACTCCTCTAGATTTTCCACTCCTTCAGGAGAGGCATATGATTAGCCTTTGGAATGAAGAGAAAGGATCCCTACATTTTTGAAATTGTACCAATTAGCTAAGCCTCAGGCCGCGGCTTAAACTAGAGGCTGCCACATGGGCATGCCGGACCTCGGGGCCTGATCCCAGCACAGGAATCAGAGTATCAAGTATTTGGGGAGCAGAACCATTTACAAATGAGTGTGAGCATTTCAATGGAAGCATGCAGCCTGATGGGCTGTCCGGTCTCAGAATTCACCTGCTCCTTGGCTCACTGCTGAAACCGGCCTTGGACGTGACGTGCTGGGCACTGGGTGTTATACACAACGGATGAATTCCTGAACACTACATCTATGTGGGCTAATTGCATTTAAATTAAAAAAAAAAAGAAAAAAGAAACTGGCCTTGGACTCACTGGCTTTTGCTTCCTAAATGTAGCAGACTCTCCCTGCCCCTCCTTTCCTTCAGGGGCTCCCCATGGCCCAGGCATCACGCTGCACTGATGGGACTGCTGAGTTCTGGGCACACTGAGCTTCAGGAAAAGCAAATGACAAGGCATCCAGCCTGTCACCCAGGAACTGCAACAGCTGTGATGTTTGACAGGAGAGAAGACAAGAGTCGAGCAGAAACCAGAATAGAAGGAGGGAATAAAATAATGGAGGGAGAGAAGAAGCAGTTCTCACTGCGGTCAAGTATATGAGAAATTCAAGAGAGGAGATCGTAAGAGTTCTCACAGCAGGGAGACACTTCTTTTCTTCCTTTGCTTTTTCTTTTTACTGGATTTATAGGCAGCGAGGGATGCCAGCGATGTGTACCCCAGTCACCCCCGTGTAAGTCAAGCCATCCTGCTGTATTAATTCAGCTTACACTGTGCTGTGTGCCCGTTACATCCCAGGAATACTGGGGGTGGGGACCCCAAAACAAAACAAAACAAACAAAACTTCTCCAAAAATTGGAGACAGAAGAGAGCTGGAGAGAGACGAAACAAGAGGAAAAGAGGGACTCCCTTTTTAGACTTCTCAGTGTTTATCTCCCCTCCCCATACCTCACAAAAGCAGGTCTCCCCCAGTTTTAGGGGTCTGGGAGGTCCTTTGCAGTGAAAACTACTTCCCTCCCAGAGCAGAGCCATTGTCCTCAAAAGCGACCCTTACTTTGCGTCGCAAATATTGCTGAAACCCACACCTCAGCGCTGTTCTGTGAGATTTCTTAGAAAGTCTTGAATAAAGAAAAATGAATTAAGGAAGCAAATTTGGCAAAAAAATATTTTCTGTTTAACAGTATAGGTGAGGCAGCTCTAGGTTCTAGGTGAAGAGATGTCCCAAATGTATTTCTCGCAGTTATGCTGATATGAGTTGACGTAATGCTAACAGGACTGCATGTGAACTTGTAAGCCATTAAAAAGAAAGATAATTTCGCTTGGTAAGTATATCTCCAGTTGGCTGTTGCATTGTATTAATATGTCATCTTTCCCTCAGAAGCGTGCCAGAGTGGGGCTCTCCCTATAATAGTAAAGGAAAGAAGCCTGCGGGAGGAATTTGGAGTCTAGAGTGGTCTTGCCACTGGGAAGTTCACTGTGTCAAAACACAGTTTTCTAAAAGGGCTTGCTTGGTACATATTGTGTGGGTTAGAAGCCAATATTACATTTGGCTCTTGTCCTTCCCGACTACAGGACAACTAAATTCTCTAGATTTCTGAGGCGGCCATTTTGTTTTCTCTGACTCTGTTTCCCTAACCTCCCGCTAAGCCTCCCTACCTTCTCTTTCTCTGGCTCTGCCTTGGGACAAGAGCAAATGTTTGGCTTGTTCCACCATACTCAGAGGCCAACGGTGTTAACAACAAGATCCCATCTGTCCAGTGGATTTTCCTGAGTATCCCTTGAAGCGGGCTCTCCCATATTCCATGGTGGCCCCTCTTTTGGCCAACCTCTGTTTAAGAGGATGTAGCCCCCTTATTGGCTAGTGAGGGTTCAGAGAAGGTGAAGAAAGTTCAGTGGGATTCAAAGTAAAGAAATGAAAATAATCTTGTGGAACATTCCTAAGTCTTACTCTATAAACTAAAAAAGGACACCAGAAATAACATACACATTATTTGGGGGCAAGTACGGAAGATGGGCAACTGTTTCTGGAGTTTATGAAGCATCATACTGTAATCCCAGGCACCTTTAAAAAAAGCCATTTCAAAGATAACCTGGTGGAGCCAAATGGACATGCGTTTCGAAGGCAGAAATAGCAATGGGCTGGAATCCTACGCCAACCACGTAAACCTGAGCAACCTTCTTAACGCCACAGGCTGGTCAGGAGGGTTCACTGTGAGAGTGTGTGCAAAGCAACTAGTCCTGAGACTGGCCCTTGCTGGACATTCAATGACTGTGAGTTTCTATCATTTTGGGAGAGAGAGAGAGAGCAGAATTGAAGATGTGACTCTTCTCTACAGGAGAAACCCTGAGAAGGAATTATACCAACGGCAGCTAGAAAGAAAAAAGACATGAAAAGTGAACAGCTAGAATGCGATGATGAAAAGAAGTCTAAAATGGGGCAATGAGCTGTTAGACACCAGAAAATGTGGCTTCTGACACAGGCCCGTGGAAAACTAGAGAGCAAAGGAGAAACTTACATCAAGAATTTCCTTGTTGGCTTTCGGAGATGTGGCTTCTCTTAATTCCTTGATGGCCACAGGAATTTTAACTTTCTCACCTTCTGGGATCCAGAGTCCCTGTGATGAAGAGGGAGAAAAGACATTAACTGGCAATTGTCATACTATGCAATATGCTGACTCGTGAGACAGACGGACTTTACCAGTGACACTGTCCCGAAGGGCGAGGGACCTTGAGCACAGCTCTGTATTCTAAGGCCATCAGAGCTGGGAGCCATGACATCTCAGCAGCTCTCCTGCTACCATGTTCCATGAATCAGAGTCATTAGTTAAAAAAAACCCTAAGCCTGTGTCAGTTACAACACCAGTGTGGATCATTTTGTCCAGAATTCTGAGATACTGGGTGTCGGGCTCACTGAAATCAGACCTGATGTAATAGGATCCAGAAAAAAATAAGAGGAGCTGTTTTGACTTGGACTTCATTTGGACACTGTCACAGAGTGACAGGCAGCCCCTTCTTCAGACTCCCTCTCTGCCACCCACCCCTTTACAAAGTCACCACTATCATCCCTGGAAACTTTTGATGACTGTATATGGGTCCCACAGGACCATTTAATTTGTCACCATGATTATACAAGATTTCCTCTCGAGACCTTGGAGAAGACACTGGAATGTCCAAACCATGAGCAACACAAAGAGTAGATAAAGTTGATAAACAGAAGACAGCCCAGGACTCTGGATTTGCGCATCAACCCACATCCCCAGAAGTCTTGGCATCCTGGTGGCCTCACCTTGTACACCGTGCCAAATGCTCCAGAGCCCAGCACCTTGATCTTTTTGAATTCTGTTTCCTTTAAGATCCTCAAGAGAGCTTGGTTGGGAGCTTCTCCGCTGGGCGTAAGAGGCTCAACAAGCTGTGAGAGATAAGGGAGAAAAGTCGCTGGTCAACGCTCAGGCCTATGTGGAGGCGGGCGTTGGCCAAGCCCAGACACAGCCACGCGTGGATGTGCTTCAGCCCAAAGAACCGGCCACACTCACTCGAAAGAAGAAATGCACGCCTTCTCAAAGAACTTCACAAAAGGTATGTTGACAAAGGGACTCCCTGGTACAGGAGTCCTTGAACAGAACAGCTCCATTTCAACAAATGCGATTTCTACTTCCAGTCAATTAGCTGGATTGAGAGAATTTTGGTAAGGAAACTTTTTAGAGGGTTGGTCATTTTGATAGCCTGTTGGGCATCCTAACATGCAAATGCCTTTATGCTATGAGCTGCTGTGGGTCTCTCCTCCCAGGGACTCTGGCTTCTGACACTCTGCAGGACGAGGATGCTGGCTGAGGACCCATTCAAGTGAGTCACATACAGAGCTCAAAAGGCAACAGCATTGTGTAGACAATGGGATTTTCCACAGTTAACTTCTCAACCATGTGCCTTCCCAGGAACCAACACCTATGCACAAGCCTTTCCGTGCACATATATGCCTGTTGTATTTACACAGGACTCTCCACAGCTTGGTAGCTATGTTGTGAGACTTAATTCATTCCAGAGCTGTACCCAAATGTGACTAATTGTTTATAATGGGACATTCAGAGATTCTTTTTGGTTTTTCCACCATCAGAAATAAAACATAATAATACACATACTTAAAATACAAAATCTTGAAGGGCAAGACATGGCAGGAGAGCCCTTGTTTCTGTCCAGGATGCTAGGATAGGGGCACGGGCAGGACATGTCAGGCCTGGGCACCCACTCACCTCTCTTTCTTGCAGGAGTCTACGAAGGGTACGCTTCCGGACAATATGGCGCCGGCGCAAAAAGAGGCCCACCCCGAGGGCCACCATCACCACCAAGAAGAGGCCGCCCACAATCCCAATGGCAATGGATGGGATCTTGTGCCTGGAATGAGAGGGAGACATGGCAAAGTGAGGCTTGTGGATAGATTTCATTACATTGGCATTTTTTTTTTAAGATTTTATTTATTTATTTGTCAGAGAGAGAGAGGAGTGAGAGCGAGCACAAGCAGACAGAGCGGCAGGCAGAGGCAGAGGGAGAAGCAGGCTCCCTGCCGAGCAAGGAGCCCGATGTAGGACTCAATCCCAGGAAGCCGAAGGCAGCTGCTTAACCAACTGAGCCAACCAGGCGTCCCATTACATTGGCATTTTATGATTTCCGACATTTTTTTGACAGTTTGACATCATTCAATGTCATCTCAGAAAGTAGGTACCACGTGGCTTCTAAAGAGAGGAAAGAACGTCTGGAGTTTCTAGGGTAGTGTTTCCACCTTCTTGAGCATTAGAAGGTCCTCCCTCCCAGCTTTTTTACATTTTTTTAAATGGAGGTATCCTCTGGACATCTCCACATGACAAGTGTATTTTAATCTATTGATTAAGAAATCACAAAATTCAAAAAGTAACTCAGACTCCCATCATGATTTTCATATGAATTTGCATTTACCCCCAGAATCTCTCCCTTCATCTGAAGCCTAGAAGGCCACTGCCAAAGACATGCATTGTCTCCTGGCTTGCCTGGGTGAAGGCACCCTTTCCATGACGTTCAGCCTCTTTGAAGGGTCCCTGACTTTCAAGATGGGACCACAGCCCTGTGGAATGCTTTATGAATAAGCATGGGGGAGGTTATAAAGTGATAGGCTTTCACCATAAAAAGCACGATTGTCATAAATCAGTGATGTCACCATGTATCAGCAAACCACTTTACAGCACTCCTTTTTCCCACTATGGGTGTGCTCGATTTCAGGGATGGCAAAAACCTCCAACAAAAGTTCTGGAGTTCACTGGGGGAAAAGAGCTATCTGGATTTGTGGATTCTGAATTCAGAATCTTTATAAAGTTATTATTCTCAAGTGTCTATCCCCTTTGAGCTTCTGGCAAGCTTCATATTTTCTGGAGGAAATGTTAAAGAATATCAAAGATTAATTAGCATCATTAGCACATAACTATCCCAGCATCCTTACAAATTTCTTGTAAGTGGGTCAAAGGTGCTCCATGAAAATGGTATCTACAACACTTTCTTCTTAGTGAATGCAAAACTTGTCTCCTTCATTATGCCATCTCCTCAATTAATGTGGTTTGCATTAATGAGTTTTTACTATATTGAAAGGAACACTAGAATGATACAAAGAATAATTACAGAGTACGCATGGGTTCCGTGGGGAGCTGTAGTAAGGGTAAGTGAATAAGATGAGAAGAAAAAATAAAAAGAGTCAATATAACAATGAATGGTCACGGACTGGTTTCAAGGTGGGGCTTTGATGAAAAACCTCATTATGAATGTACTGATTATAGTGTGAAGATAGGACAAATTTTGCTGATGTAGGCTCAGCAAAGAGGAAGGGATGAAAGGAAATCTTTATCTCTGAGAAACTGCCTTACTCGTCTTTCATGTTTCACTTGATAGTAGGTAGGATTTATTATCATGGCTAAATCTGGGGCAGAAGAGTCAGCCAACGCGGAAGCCAGATTGTTGAAGAAGGGACTGTGTAGACATTACTAGAAATGGAAGAGATGCCTGGAAATTCGGTTAGTGTTGGGTTATGTCAAAGAGGTGCCTTGTGCCTAATTCCGATTCCTTGCTTGACATTGTTAATTGATAATACCACACTCTTTCCTGATGAGTCTGACCAGGAATTCCCAGTTCTGCTTTTCTTAGTGCAGCATTTCAAGTAATGATGGCAAATGAATCAGAATTGAAATGCTAAAGGAAATCATTGTTTAGAACAGGTTAGTCAGGGAGAAAAATGACCTCAAGCTGGAGCTCTTTCATCAAACTTGAAGGTCTGAGATGTGGTCCATTGGGTCAGCAAGGTCAAAAAGAAGAGAAGCTAGGAGAAAGATCTGAGAAAACTGGTGTAACCAAAGAAGTCAGAGACAGGCTCCATGTAAAGAGAAGCACTGGGCACTGAGTGCTAGTGCCACACAGAGCAGGTCCCAGTGCTCATACCCTGAGTCCCCTCCCCCGAACACACCAACAAGTAGGCAGGGGAGAGGAGGGGGGGAATCCGCAGGGTGGTCTCAGCTAGGGATGTTATGCTGGCCCAGAGAAGAACCTGTCAATGCAGAAGGCGATCAGAAATGTGGGAAAGTGGGGTGCCTGGGTGGCTCAGTGGGTTAAAGCCTCTGCCTTTGGCTCAGGTCATGATCCCAGGGTCCTGGCATCGAGCCCCACATCAGGCTCTCTGCTCAGCGGGGAGCCTGCTTCCCCCTCTCTCTCTGCCTGCCTCTCTGCCTACTTGTGATCTCTGGCTGTCAAATAAATAAATAAAATCTTAAAAAAGAAAAGAAAAGAAAAGAAAAGAAAAGAAAAGAAACATGGGAAAGTATTGTCTCTGCCCACACAGTCTTTGGACATTTCTGAGAAGGTCCGCTGGACACCGTTACGACACTTACCCTTCTATCGTGCAGCCTTCAAGACCTGGCCCGTCACAGCTGTAGGAATGGAGAGAAGAACACACATTTTGAATCATTCTGCTTCTTCAGTATTTTGTCTGAGTTTTTTTTTTTTGAATATTTTATTTATTTGAGAGAGAGTGTAGAATGAGAGCGAGAAAGAGAAAGCATGAGCAGGGGGGAGGGACAGAGGGAGAGGGAGAGACATGTAGGGCTCGATCCCAGGACCCTGGGATCATGACCCAGGTGTCTTTTAGAGAGTTTTTAGTTAAGTCACAAGGCAACATGTTTAAATTACTCTCCAATCATTAAGATCACCAGCAATCCCCATTCTGTGGCAGTGGTTAATCTACTTTGCATTGTTTCATTTATTCATTTTCCCAGCAAGTATTTCTGAGTGTGCACTCTGTGACAGGGACTCTTCTAGCATTGAGCCAAGGGGACAGTTTCTGGCCTTTGTTATTAAGATGCTTTAATGTACACCTCGTGATACAGGTATAGTTGTCTCACGTCGGGCTCTAGGATGTCGATATGGGCTGGGGAGTAGAGGGCCCAAGACTAGAGCCAAACTGATTAAGGAGCAGGTAGGGAGGAACAGATGAGGGAAGACAAGTCTCGGTGGTAGGGAAATGACAGTGATGATTTCAGACCCAGAAAGCCAGGGACGAGGGGAGGAGCTGGCTTCATCCCCTCCCACACAACTGAAATGTGTTACATACAGCAGAGACAGCCCTGGTCTTCCACGACCCCTGAGCCGCTGGGCTCCCATTCTAGTGGGGGAGGCCACCATCCCTTATTTCGATTACAGGATGATGTAAAAAGGCGGGCTCCGTGGGCTCTGAGAACAGCAGCGCTTGCCAATACAAACATCAGCAGGAAAGCAAAATACGCTAAACGGAAAAGACAACTCATGCTGCTGTGCACGGATGGACTGACAGAGCGTGATGCTAACTGAAATAAGTCAGACAGAAGGACAAATACCGTAAGAGTTCATCTATATATAGGGACTAAAAAAAAACCAAACGAACAAACCAACAGCAGAGATAGACTCATAAATACATGTAAATACATAAATACCACAAACCTGTGGTTACCAGAGGAAAGGGAGTGAGGGGGAGGGACATAATGGGTGAAGGGGTTAAGAGCTACAAACTTCCAGTTGTAACAACTAAGTGACGGGGATAAGGAGTACAGCATAGAACATACAGTCAATAATGTAACAATTCTGTCTGGTGACAGGTGGTGACTACACTTTTTGTGGTGAGGCCTGCATAATGAATAGTATTGTCAAGTCACTATGTTCTACACCTAAAACAAATATAACATTGTGTGTCAGCTGTATTTTAGTTTGAAAAAGGAGGCAGGGGAGATGACCATTTTATGGCCTGGGAAAGGATGAAGAACTACATTTCAAATTGCGAATGGGATGGGGGTGCCTTGGAGCACCCCATTTCCTATCTTAGTTAAGGGCTGGGATCTGTACACTTCTCTTGGAGGGAGAGGGTCTGTTCCGCCCTCATTTCTACACTGTCCTGCTCCTTTCCCCCCAAGGCCTTTGGGCATTCCTCTCTATCTCTCTCTCTCTCTCTCTCTCTCACACACACACACACACACACACACACACACATGCTTTTTCAGGCTGTGGGATGCACACTCTATTATCTCCTAGGGAAACCAAAGTCAAAGACAAAAGGCATCATTGATGAATGACCACTGACTGATAAACTCACACCCTACTCAAAATATCTCTGCTCACTCGCTTCATCCCCCACCCACCATGCCTGGCACTCCCCCAAAGGGGAACACTATGCAAAGTGAGTGCAAATGGAAATTGTGAATTTGGGGACCACATGCAGGGATTTTTTGAGAAAGGCCAGTTTACATCTGAAGAGATGACTGGCAAGGACAGAGACAGGCCAGGTGCTAGCAGAGAGTCGATCTGAGTAGCGAGATGAAGAGGTCTTTGGGAAAGCTGATTTGCAGAAACGATCGCTGAATACGAAGTAAAAGAGGCCATCGCACATTATCCTTTTAATTGCGTCAGAAAAATTGCTCCTTATCCTCCACTCAATTCATTCTTTTCGGTTACATATAATAAGAACAAGAAACACTTCTGTCCTGCTTCTTCACCTGATGTGCTCTCACTCACCCGTAGGTACAGTTGGAATGACACAGGTGGCACACGCGATTGGCATCTGCAAACTTCCAGACCAGGGTGTTGTTCTCTCCCATGATGCCAGCCGGACAGGTCTTGACGCAGTGCGGGCCGTCGATGTAGTGCGCACACTTGACGCAGCTGTCCGGTCCCTGTCAAGATCGAGGACGACCTCTCTATATATGTTTCTTTCTCTTTCAAAACTGAACTTGTTACTTAAAATACTTATTGTGAAAAACAGCCAAATAATAATAGAAGTTCTTCAAGTAGAAAAACGACAGACTCATCTGGGATTGCCATCGCTTGACGGGACCGCTGCTAACAGCTCACTATAAAGTCTTACCACCTTTAAAGACATTTCATATATAACTATACTAAATACTTCATTACATTTTGCTTAACAGATTATGGGCATCCGTCTTTGTCAAAACCATCTAATTAGTCTATGAGGACATTTACATCTTTATTGCTCAGATGGACTTTCTTGCGTAACACGTTTGAACTTAAAGGAAGACTGTGGGAAGCTAGACTTGCTGAGGCAAATGCAAGAAAGCCTACATCTCTGTATTTTTAGGGACAACAAGGTGGTGGCACAATGAACACTGGACTGTGCTAACTTTGATTCTGGTACCCACACGCTTCACAAAGGGGCTGAAATGAAATGGGCAGGGAGGGATGTCCCTGTTTTGTCCAAAGACTGAGTGTTCTTAGAACCAGAGCCATCAGATGACTAAAGTCAGTATCGCCAACTGATTTATCTCGATGAAAATGTACCCTAACACCATGGGAACTTATAAACCATTGGTTTACTTTGTAACCCGCCATGTTGGCAGCCTATGCCTCAAAACACAGCCTTTTGCCCAATTCAGAAACAACTTCTGAAAAATATTTTTAATTAGTAGATTTACGTATGGCTGTTGAAGCTCAAATCCACACACATGTCCTTATATGTAATATTAAGAATGAACAACAGTTAGGACACTGGTGTGATAGGGGACCTGAATTCTCACTTCTATTCTTTAAAATATCATGTAGATAGAAAACTGAATTTTGGAAAGTTTTGCTAGGTGTTTCTTTAGAAATGCTCTGAACTTCTCAAACTCAACATACACAAAAAACACACACAAAAAAGTCAAGAAATGGGCATAAGACATAAACAGACACTTCTCCAAAGAAGACATACAAATGGTTAACAGACACATGAAAAAATGTTGAACATCACTCGGCATCAGGAAATACAAATCAAAACCACAATGAGATACCACCTTATACTGGTTAGATGGCAAAAATTAACAAGGTAGGAAACAACAGATGTTGGCGAGGATGTGGAGAAGCGGAACCCCTCTTACACTGTTGGTGGGAATGCAAGGTGGGGAAGCCACTCAGGCAAACAGCATGGAGGTTCCTCAAGACGTTAAAAATAGAGCTACCCTACGACCCAGCAGTTGCACTACTAGGTATTTACCCCAAAGATACAGATGTCGTGACAAGAAGGGGCACATGCGCCCCAGTGTTCATAGTGGCAATGTCCACAACAGCCAAACTGTGGAAGGAGCCGAGATGCCCTTCAACAGATAAAAGGAGAAAGATGTGGTTCATGTATACAATGGAATTTACTCAGCCATCAGAAAGGATGAATATGCACCATTTACGTCGAAGGGGATGTAACTGGAGGGGATTATGCTAAATAAAATAAGTCAGTCAGAGAAAGACAATTATCATATGGTTTCACTCATATGTGGAACATAAGGAATAGTGTGGAGGACCACAGGGGAAGGGAGGGAAAACTGAATGGGAAAAAATCAGAGAGGGAGACAAACCATGAGACACTCTGGACTCCGGGAAACAAATTGAGGGTTTCAGAAGGGGGTGGGGGGATTGGGTAGCTGGGTGATGGGCATTAAGGAGAGCACGTGATGTAATGAGCACTGGGTGTTATACACAGCTAATGAATTGTTGAACCCTCCATCAAATTCTAACAAAGTATTATATGCTGGCTAACTGAACATAATAAAAAAGATAAAGATTTACACAAAATAAAAAAAATGCTTTGAATAGTTGTGAACTGATGTTAAATCAGAATTTGAGGATGTTTGATTAAAGTGACGAAGCAATGATGACAGATGTCAGAAATGGTGACAAGTCTACCACAGGCTTCTTCTCATCTGAAAGAGCAGATGTTATTAAACTTGTTAGGATGTGTTGGACAGGAAGGGTGAGTGCTCCTGTGCGATGGGGTGTGTGATGACGCCAGCTCAACCACAGCCTCTCTGGGACGCAGCTGTGAGGTCACATGTTGGCTCAGTGTTGTGGTTCTACTGCTGGGAGCCTTCTCCCTACGATGTAGGAGGGGATAACATCAAACGCACTCCTCACCCGTCCCGTGCAGGTTACATTCATGGGCTGGGGCAGGCATTCCGGGTGGCACTGTATGCACTCGGAGTTCTCCACAAACTCCCTTGGCTCCCTGAAGAGAAGAAAGGAAACTGATCAGCACTGTCTCTAGAGATCCTGCTTCAAAATGCTGGGTGGCTACAACCATCTGAGTTAATCCATCTGAAATTTCGGAGGATGCAAATCCTCTTTTCCAGCAATACCAAAAAATTTCAGATCAACATGCAGCCGTGGGGAATCGGGACGCTACTGTGAGATCAGAAAGTGACTGTATTAACTGAATCCTTGGTCATCTTCCCCCTCAACAAATACACAAGCTTCATTCATAATCCAAACATCTTCCCTGCATTTTTCTACAAGGCCCAGTTTTTGTCTCTTAGGCAAACAAGCCAATACATGAAAAAGGTCATAGTCCTTAAGAGGTGACCTCGTCCCCAACATCAGATTCATGGATATTTAATGCAAGCTGGAGAGAAATGATTAACTGTAGATTAATGTACAGGAAAAGAAAGGAGAGACGTTAGAATGTACTCCATGGTTCTTAACAAAAACCGTTACGTGTGCAATACAGGTGTGAAAAATTTTGCTTGTAAGAGTTTCGCTAGTCCTCAGGGATGTCCAGATCAATGTTAACCAAGAAGACCACGTTAGATTGAAAAGACAAAACAGTGGTGGCAGCTATTGAGGCTGAAAGCGCCTGGGAATTAACTACAGGTCTTCACTCCAGTGAACAAGGAGTGTTTACACCCCACAACATGTTCCCTAAGTCCTCCCTCATGTCCTCAACTAAACCAAATATGCCCAAATGGTTTTTTCCTTCCCTTCTTCCCTGAGTTACAATGCCTGCGGGAGGAGCCCATTTTGCGGGCTGAGCACTTGCTACCAGACACCGACATTCTTAACAGAAAGGCACCACCAACATGATTATTTGAATTCCTTCTCTTTCTCTCTCTCTCTCTTTTTAAAAAAGATTGTATTACTTATGTGTGAGAGAGAGGGAGCGCGCACAAGTGATGGGGCGGGGGTGGGGATGCGGGAGAACCAGGCTCCCCGATGAGCAGGGAGCCTGATGTGAGGCTCGATCCCAGGACCCTGGGATCATGACCTGAACTCAAGGCAGATGCTTAACCGACTGAGCCACCCAGGTACCCCAGTTCCATCTCTCTTTAAAAAGATGTGGAAACCATGAGACTCATGTTTCTTTTGGAGCAGTAAGGACTGCACGGATATTTCTTGTTGAAACAGCACTGTCAATTATACAACATACTCGGTCAGGTTACTGAGCCGATCTGCTAAAGTGTTCATACAGAACTGGACTTGGTCTACTCATCTTGCTCCTGAATATTTCTGGATCTGTGCTATGGCCCAGACCCCAAGAGTGAAACAAGAAGGAAGGTTTCCTGTACTCATCTGTAATTCCTCTGGCTCCTTCTCTCTGACAAAATTTCCCGTTCTTTAAATTAAAAAAAAAAAAAAATGCTTCTGCCTCTGTCCTTCAATTGTACTTTCCTATTAATTTATTTTTAGTCATTATTCGAGGACCTTCAAAGCTTTATATCCATCTCAAGATTCCCAGAGAATCGACAGACTGTACTTTCTACTGATTGCAGATGAATTCAAGAGTGGTTACGTGGTGGTTTATTCCTTTGTCCATGGTTACATTTAAAGTTATATGCACGGTTCAATATTTCTTGAACATAAAACAAAAAATTAACGAGGAAATGTAATTTATATTGCTTTTGACAAAGCAGGGAGAGTGTCTCGCCAAGAAAAGTCTAGATGACTGTGGTCTCGGCCATATGAACCACTTACGACTTTTTCGTCTGTCTCGGGAACTTTGTGTGGCTTAGAAAAATAGCAGATTTCCAAAACAGAGACTCTATAAATTGGTGGATTGGCGTAGTCATGAAAAACATTTGTTCATTTCCTTTTGTGATTAACAGCTGTCAACAAATATACGACAAAAAAAAAAGGAAAAAGAAAAAAAAAAGCAATAGGATCAATGTGAACAACCATAAAACTATAAAAGCAATCTCCTTGTCTTTTAGCAAAATCAAGGGGGTACAAAAGAACCTTACCCCTCCAGAACATTGCACTTCTCCACACATTCCTTGCCCCGGCTGACGTTTCGGCAGGACACACAGTCTTCCGGCTCTGGGCCCCAGCAGCCCTCTGAGGAGCACAAAGGATGGCAGACGTGGCCCATGGCCTCTGGGAAGACAGGGTGAGCCACAAGGGGTCAGCTGCGGCACAGTGACTAGAGGGGACAAGCGTGAACGTACCCCCACGGGTAAATGAGGTGCTGGGTTCTTTGTGACCTTGAGCAGCATGGACGTGCGGAGGGGGAGGGGTGCGAAGAAGCAGGGACACCCAATTGGCTTCTCGAGGCCAAATGCAAGTTCCCTTCTCCCCACTGGGAGTCAAGGGTTCCTGGACTGGACCTAGGCAGCATTCCACTGATGAATGTCACAGCTGATGGAAACACCCGGAAGGGTTGTGGTTCCTGCCATGTGCTGAGCACTGGGACAAGAGTTTTACATGTAAAAATTTCATTTCATTCTCTCACTGGCAGCACGAATCATTGAGAAAGCCAAAGCCTGAAGAAACTATGTAAACCGATCAAGGTCTGGAAGCTAGGAAGGGCTAGAATCGGGGTTTGAACGCAGACCTGCTTCTCCCAGTGACCAGGCAGTGCGCATGCCCAGCTTCCACAGTGGCCTATGGCTCCCCAACCAGACTAGGAAATGTCAGTTAAAATGTTCATTCTATCTGCAGGCGTGTGCATGTGTGTGCGTGTGTGTGTGTGTTGCTAGCTACAGTCGTCAGAGGCTGAAATGAACAGGGAGAAACCTATGGCTAACAGGTAAAATAATTAATACAAAATTGATTTCCGTTAATTACAAATAATCGATAACTTAAACCTCAAGGCAAATTCATCCTGTGAAATGTGCGCGAACTGGAAACAATTCCAAGGAATTTCATATGATAGCTTCACAAATTAGGAATACACAGATTTCTTTTAATCTGCTTCTTCAGGAATGAAAATGTAATTGAAATGTTTGGGAATATTCTAGATTAAAATAAATGACCCAAGGGAACCATCTCCACAATCAGCTAGAGTGATTACTTACTGCAGCCTTTTTCATCTTTGTTGTTTATAATTTTGGTTTTCTGACTTGAAGTCCCAAATAGCTTTTTCCAGTTTATTGTATTTGCATAGCACAATTTTTTGTTTCCCGAGATGATCACATCCCCATCACTTATCTCCTTGAGGGAGCGTAAGCCCAAGGACGTTATGTCCAGGCCGACGACCGCAAGAGAAAACTGACCACTACAGTGGAGAAAGAAACATAACATTGTGAACAATTACAAAAAGATTCTATCACTAAAAACCTTATTTTTTATTTTCTGGACCACTTTATGTTTACTACAAACTGCTTGCCAGTGACTATAAGTCATACTGTAGTACGTCTTTATTGCAACTTAAAAGAGGTTTTTTTAAGCAACTCTAGGGAAAAGCTAGTTCCTTGTTCACTTAGTATTTTTAACTTCAGTGGCATATGGGGGGCTGAATAAATGTTAATATCATTATTATATTTACTGCATTTTTTTGGCCTGGGGATTGAAAACATGTTCTAACCTTTTAAATATCCAAATACTTCAAAAAAAAATCACAAGTTCATTTTTTCCATCCACCCACCCACCCATTCATCTATCCATCCATCCACTCACCCATCTATCCATCCACTTGTCCATCCACTTATCTATGCGTGCATGCGTCCATCCATCCTTCCACCTCTCTGTTCATCCATCCATCCACCCATCTGTCCATCTGTCCACTCACCTATCTATTCAGCCATGGATTCACAATCCATCCACCCACTCACCCATTTGTCTCTCAACTTGTCCATCCACTTATCTATGGATACATGAGTCCATCCATCCATCCATCCACCTCTCTGTTCATCTATCTCCACCCATCTATGTACTCATCTAGCATCCACACATCCACCCATCCATCCAACTACCACTCATCTATGTATTCATTCATGGATTCACAATCCATCCATCCACTCACCCATCCAGCTAACCATCCATCCAACTACCCACTCTTCTATGTATCCATCCATGGATTCACAATCCATCCATCCACTCACTCATCCAGCTATCCATCCATCCATCTATCCACTCATCTATCCATTCATTCATGGATTCATCCATCCAACCACCCACTCATCCATCCATCCATCCATCCATCCATCCATCCATCCATCCATCCACTGATGCACTGATCCATTCACCACCCATCCATTTATTGAACAAACATTCAAATGACCCAACTCTGTGCTAGAACTCTATATGGCTATCAATGGGTTTTCATCAAGTGACTGGATGAAAGTAATTCACACTGAAGGGAGGGAAGTCTTGAACCACCAGGCAGGGCAGGAAGGCAAGAAAGCAGCTGATGGTGCTGAGAACCAGGGGCTTCTGCTGGAGCAGAAACCTGGAAGTGGGGAGGCCTGGGCAAGAGGTCTGGGAGGGTGGAGGAGGCCAGAGCACAGAAGACCTTGGACACCTTGAGCTTGGCTGTTGTCTGCAAATGATGGAAACCACAGGAAAGAGATCTATACTTTTAAGAAGCTCACAGGACACCAGGACAGAAAATGGACCAGTGGAGAAAGCACTGAATGAGGAGATATCAGGTAAGATGACAAGTTTAAAGTGGAGATTCCTTCTCTCCTTGTTTCTCTTTCTCTCCCGGCACCATTCTCCTCCTCCTCCCTTCCCACAACCTGGCTCCTGAGGAAAGTGAGGAGGCCTGTGTAGGAGACCTGTAGCACTACCATTTAGAAATTCTCTCTTGCCATGTGCCCACAGAAGCCTAGACCCTGGGACAAAGCCGGAGTCCCCTTCCCTTGGTGAGCCACATCTGGAGCTGGTGGTCACCCTGTCCCTGTGTATCACTGGACTCCTCATTAAATGTGAATAGAAAAAAAAGTGATTCTAATTTTACTTAAATTCCTATAACTAAGTCAAGTGGTACATCCCTGTCACCCCAAAAAAACTGATCTAACTCTCTTGTCTCTGCATGAATCTTGGGCAAAAGAAGTATTTTTGAGAACTCAGAACAAAAGGGTTTTTCTGTGCAGTTAGTATCAGAGATGCACAGCCAAGATGGTTTTTAAAAAGCAATATGTATTTTATGTGTACTTGTTCTGATATTCTTTAATATTGAATATCATGTTTTAGGGTCAATTAACGGGTAATATTTCTAAGCATCAGACTGTTTTGTTTTTTTAAAGATTTTAAAATAATTTTTTTGTAGATTATTAAGGTTTTTTTTTTATTTTTTATTTGATGGACAGAGATCACAAGTAGGCAGAGAGGCAGGCAGAGACAGAGAGAGGGAAGCAGGCTCCTCGCTGAGCAGAAAGCCTGATGCGGGGCTCGATCCCAGGACCCTGGGATCATGACCTGAGCCAAAGGCAGAGGCTCTAACCCACTGAGCCATCCAGGTGCCCCTAAAATCAATTTTGACAGAGAGAGACACAGAGAGAAAGGGAACACAAGTGGAGGGAAGGGTGGAGGGAGAAGCAGGCTTGCTGCTGAGCAGGGAGCCCGATGTGGGGCTTGATCTCAGGACCCCGCGATCATGACCTGAGCCAAAGGCAGAAGCTTAACGACTGAGCCACCCAGGCGCCCCCACATCAGACTGTTTCTAAGGCAGGTTTGACAAAGAGATTCTCAAACTCTTCCTCTCCACAAAACTCATTATTACTCTTACCATATCAAAGATACTTATATGTGATTTTTTTTTCTGTCAGAGTTGGAAAAGGGGCAATCCTGAACAAAACACTTAATGTTAAAAAGTCTCTCCACTCCCTCTGATAAGATGTGCTCATAAGGACATGTCACCTCAGTGCTCTTCTTGCCAAAAATGCACAACCTCAATCGAATCATGAGGAAACATCAGCCATTCTACAGAATGTTTGACCAGCACTTGGTAAAACTGTCAAAGCTATAAAGGATAAGAGTAGAAGTTGGGATGGTTAGAGATGAGAAGGGACTGAGAAGACGCAACAGCTAAGTGCAACATGGCACTCACAGGCAAACGGCTAAATCTGAGTGATGTCTGGTGCTGGAGTCAACACCACGGCACCGATGGTAATTCCGCCATTTTGCCCTCGTACCATGCATAGGTGAGAGGTTAACAATCGTGTAAGCTCTCTGGAGGGTCTTTATAGCAGCTGTGTAAGTCTAATTTCGAACTCTTCATGCGGTCTTATTTTCAGAATAGATAAATAAATAATCTACCAGGCTTTGCGCAGGGTCAACTTACTGTTGCTTTGTTCTTCCACGTATGATTTCTAGGTTCTCGAAAGCATGGAGGTCAGTCCTGTTTTCGGGCCAGGCCTGAATCAGCAGAAACCCTAGAAAGGCAAGAGGATGGCTCAGACACCCACCAATTAGAAATGTCTTCTTTAGGAGACATTTTAGGATTCTTGAGACATTGTTAAATAACAATGTCAGGAGAGGTGAAGATTTGATTTGATTTTTTTTTTGTTATCTTCACTGAGAATCTACCCATGGGTAGATAGAAGCGAAGGCATAATTTTACAGCGGGCACCTGCCTCTCTTATAGAATTCCCATCCCTTGCTGCATCTCTCCTACTACACAACTTGCCCACAGCCATCCCACGGTGCCACGGCCCTGACAGCTGGGCCGGGCTCCAAAGCTGAAGACCCAAACTCTCTCTGTTCTTGATGGCAACCGCCATCTTTTGAGCTATCAGCATACAGAAGGAGATTCACATATTTTCCTTACTTAATTCCAATCCTCAAAACAGTCTTGTTATTTAGGTTCAATTACTCCGTTTTTAGGGGGGAGGGCAGGCACGTGAGGGCCAGTCTGTGGGCCCAAGAGCCTGTGTTGTTCCCTCGGGGTTCTGTCCTTCTTTTCCCCCCACCCTCAAACGTCACTGGGCCATCAGGACGTCTGGCCAGGGCCGAGGAGACGAGGATGAAACATGTTCACAGGGATGACTCAAGGCTCTGATTAAAGTGTTCACCCCTTCCATGCAGGGGAAATTGCGACTGTGAAAACTATCAAAGAACTCACTAGTCATTAATGTTAGAAGTTCAGAAGAAATGTTTTTATGATGCTGAGAGAGAAGCAGAGGCAGCCACCAGTTCTCTCTCTAAAACACCCATTTCCCATTCATGTTCATGTGACATGGTAGCCGCACACACCTGTTATTTCCTTTACAGTTTTTAGAATGTCCAGTTCCTTTGGATCGAGAGGCAGAGTACGCGTGAAGGAGTCACTGAAACAAGTAACAGAATGATCATTAACAGTGTCTGCCTGTGAACAAAGTGGATTTTGCATTTCCCTGTTCCAGTCACTTCCTCTGTTACTTACCCTCTAAACGCTACAGGCAGGATATGAAGATCTCCGCTGATTGACGTGCAATTTTTGAAGTGTTTAATATTTGTAGCATTTATGGAAAGTGTGTCTTTAAATTCGCCAATGCCTATTCCATTACACACTGTAAAGATAAGGGAGATGTTTATTCCCTTCACACATGTTGAATTCAGAAGAGCTCGGGTTCCCTGCGCAGAGGAGAGTGGGAAGAGAATTGTAGCCATGAGCCCGTCACTGCACGCCATCACTCGTTCCTTCGACAGGAATGCAGGCCCACTGGTACCAGTAATGAGGGTGAGGGCTTGGGCTTCGGGTGCCTGGAGAAGGCAATGGCGTCCTCATGGCTGGTGATGCCCTCAGCTGGGCTTGCGTTCTCCTCCTCACAATTTTCCCACTTTAGGACTTAGCCCAATTGCTCTCCCCCATCCCTCCTTGGCAGTCGGATCCAGCTGCTGAAGCCAGGGCTGCCTCTGCCCAGCTCTCGCCAGGCCACTCCTCTGACTAAAACTTGACACCTTTCTATGGTCCTAACCTGGGCTGCAGCTCATTGTCTATTTTATTTTTTTTTCTAAGAGTTTATTTATTTATTTGACAGACGGAGATCATAAGTAGGCAGAGAGGCAGGCAGAGAGAGAAGGGGAAGCAGGCTCCCCGCTGAGCAGAGAGCCCGATGCGGGGCTCGATTCCAGGACCCTGGGATCACGACCCGAGCCGAAGGCAGAGGCTTTAACCCACTGAGCCACCCAGGTACCCCCATTATCTATTTTAAAGAAACAATGGACCTGGATTATTTTTATTAAAAAGAGCAAGATGTGTTCATTTGAGAATGCTGCAAAGTAGAATCAAGGGACCAAAATGACCAGAGTTTCCACTATAGGATATTTTAAGAAAAGTTATTTCCAGCTACCCTCCAGGCTTATGTCATACCAGATTATGTAGTTTTTTTTGTGTTTTGTTTCTTTTACTTCTTCTGCTGTGAACATTCCTCATATTGTAAAAACTATTTACGAACATGATTTTTAATGGCTGTCTTACATTACGTCATAGGGAATACTATAATAACTTTCATCAGATAAACTGCTTTTCTTCCCCTGTGTTTACTTGAACCAAATGCTTTGATCTGTGTCCTATTGCTACATCAGTCTCAAAGGACCTTTTCCACACTCCAAGCCCCTTTATTAATTTATATCCACTCCTAAATTTCCATCTCAAATGCCATCTCCACCCTAAAGTCCGCTTATCTGTTGTAATTCTCCCTCTAGAATTTGCAGAGCAATTTTGGTACCTATCTTCCAGACTTATCTTGACTTTGAAGTATAATCACTGGAAATCTCATTGCTCAGGATAAGGTCCTGTTCTTTCCTCGCCCCGGGTTCTAGGAGGAGCAGTTAAGTTCTGCTGCCCACCCCCCCGTCCCCCATGCCCTTGTGCTCCGCTCCACTGGGAGTCCCTTTTTGCTTGTAGGGAAACCGGCCATCGCTGACTCCGGTGGCCAAGACTGGGTCTCCAGGCTCACCCTGTGGGCCATGTTTCTCTCTGGTTCTGAGGAACTGCTCTAAGGAGTCCTGGGTTGAAGGGCTCAATCAGCCTTCTCGGGCTGCATCTAACACACTGTAGGTTATGGGACTCGGGGCCAGGCTTCTTTAGGATTCACAGGGTCTGGCTGACAATGGAGAATGAGGGGGCCCTATGAGGACTTGCCATTTAATTACAGGTCTGGCAGAGAATTCCATGGGTTGGAGAGAATACTCAGGCTCTCTCTCTCTGCTTGTGCGTGACAGTGTGGTGGGGTTACTTAAATCCTAAATCCAGAGACCAATTGTATATTCACCCCTAGACTTCCCTGGCACCACCTTCCTTACCCAGGGGTACTGCCCTATAGCCAAAGCCATTGGAATCGGGGATGTATAGAAAAATAGGGAATGATAATTACAGGCGAATCAAACTGTTTGTTGAACACAAAATTAACAAAACCAAACCAAAACCATCTCTGATTCTATCAGTCCATTCGAGGATGCTGACAGTAACCCTCTCTCTCGTACTTCCCCTGTGCCAAGTACTACCCCACATTCTCATTTTCCTCCTTCCATGTCTGCTCTGCCAGACAGTCTCCTGAAGCCAAAGGATACTCTTCCATCAGGGCACCTGCCCCAACTGCCCCACAGGAGTTACAAGACCAGGAAGACATGGACTTGGCCCACAAGCTCATGGGTCTGGCTTGGGACCTCGACTGCACGAACTTCAAATCTCGACTGCCATTCTTAGCTGTTGAAACTTGGGCAAGTCATTGAGATTCTCTGTTACTCAGTGTCCTCATCTGTAGAATGGGGATCCTAATAACAGACTTCCCCATGGTGTCGGGAGGATTCAATGACATGGAACAGGGAAGGTGACTCTGCCCCATGGGGACACCTGTGAAATGTGAAAAGGGAGTAAAGAGGGGAGTGATCCATTTTGACTGAAAAGACTGATGGCTTCCCAGGGAAGGTGGCCCCGGAAGTGGACACCCAAGGTAAGCAGCTATGCACTCAGATGTTATTTGTAATAGCAGAAGAGTGTAACAGTCTAAATGGCCACATAAAGGGAGATCCATTGAATAAATCATGGTACGGCCACAGAAGGGAGCCTACACAGCTGCACCACAGGATGAAGAAGATTCGTATGACTTTATCTGGAGTGATTTCCAGGGCCTATTAAGGTTAAGAAGCAAAGTTCAGAGTGTAGGTAGTACCTTTTGAGTAGAAGACATGACTGGGACCTGGGATATGTGAAAGGGACACAGGAGGCATCTGGAGAGGCTCCTACTGGCCACATATGGGACAATCCAAGTACCCAAATGAATGACAGGAACAGATAAGAAACTGAATAAAGAAGATTTCATTACCTCACATAGGAACTAATTAAAAAAAAAAAAAGAATGTCAGTAAATAAATGGGATGATAGAAAAAGAAAATCACTCTTTTATACCCACCAAGATATCTTATCTAATCTGTCACCATCAGTAATGCAATAACATGGCATCACATGTCACCTGATTTGATACAGTGAGAGGAAATCAACATGACCTAGGCAATGCTCCTGTCCCAAACACCCAACTGGAAGGCGGCCATGAGGAAAAACAGTCAATGAAGCCAACCTGAGGGACACTGTGCAAGACACCTGGGCTGGACACTTCACGGCTGGTCATGGAAGACAGAAGAAAAGCAAGTGAGGAGAGGGGGGCTGAGACACAGTTGACCAACAAAGAGAATGCGGGCAGGACATCTACATGAAACCCATGATCCTTGACTGGGTTCTGGACTGAGAAGAAGCTAAAAATGACTTACGTGGGACAGGAAGGGGAAGCCTGAGTTGAACTGGGTACTAGAAACGACTACTGAGTTGATGTTAAGTGATCCTGATGTGAACTCGTCTTTCATTACTTAGGAGAATGTCGCCAATTGTAAGAAAACGTGCTGGCAAATGCAGGGGTGCTGTGTTGCAATATCTGTAACTGTCCTCTAATTCAGAAGAAACTTGTGCCCGAGCACGCACACATGTACAGACACAAGTATGAAGACAGTGAAAGCAATGGGGCCAAACATTACAAAGTGGGGAATTTATGTGAAAGGCATACGGGTGTGTACTGCACTGCTCTTGCAACATTTCTGGGTGTTGGGAAGTTTTTACAAAAAAAATAAAGTAAAAGGCATATTAATAAGCAGAAGTAAATTGGCCTTGAGGAGCCTCCAAGAACAGGGCATGATATGAAGGCAGGAAGAAATTTCTGAGCCTGAAGGAAGAGATGAGCTCAGATCTCTTCCAAGTGTGATGCTGAGGGGGCCTGGCGGACCCCAGCTTCGTGACCAGACGGAAAGCCTTGTCCCCACACCCCACAGGCTTCCTACCTTTGCGGCAAGGCCCCTCACACTTCTTACACTTGCGGACTCCATCTTCCTCTACCTCGTAGCTGTCGGAGCTGCAGGCACGGACACACGAGCCGTGGTCGGTCACCACGTAGTTACCTGCAGGGACAAGGAAGGAAGGTGACGAAAGCCACACCAGGTGTTCCTGGGCCTCACACAATTGTCTCATGTTCTCCTACAAAGGGGCCGATGAAAAGGGCCTCTAACCCTCTGGTTTTATTTACTTGAAGGACAAAGAATGAAAGGTTGCCCTCAGAAAAGGAGTCAAGTTCAAGAGTTTTAACAGCTTATCAAACCACGGTACGGAGAAATATAGCTCATCACAGGCAGGAAACGGATGGGGCAGACAGAGTCTGGGGTCTGCTCACAGGTTCGAACATGTCTTTGCAGCTCATTTTTCTGTCAAATCGACCTTCACGACCTGTGGTTAAAGTCTGAATGTTTATTTAAAATACGTGACCTTGAACAAAGCCCACTATTCCGTATCTGAGGATGGATGTAATTCCTGTGGCCAACGTGCTGCCTTCTATGGTCCCGTCCAGCCCAACAAGCTTCCCTCGGCTGGGGGGTCGGTCCCACCAGCTGGGTTTTGCGTCGAGCCACGCACGCTCACCATCTCCTGAGCCTCCCCTCCCTTTGGAGTAACCTACTTGTGTTAACATTAACACAAATATCAATATGTTTCTGGGGCTCTATGTGTTCCCGTTTTGACTTCCCCAAGTATATCCTCAAACATATTTACCAGACATTTGCGATTTTTCCTTCTATAAATTGTTTGCCTTTGCTCTCAGACTCTGGTTTCCTGTGGGTTTTTAAACTCTACCTATTAAACTCTCCCTCAAAGATGACACCTGTGTCATCACTGTGGCAATTTTGTAAGACTTTAGTTCGTTCCATTCTATTTCTGTGGGTTTTGTTTTTTTTTTCCTGTATAGGATTTAAAAAAGTTTTGTGTCCACAAATCTGGTCAGGCAAATCTCCCCCTCATAGCTGGGCTTCCAATTTTTTTCTCTTGATCTCCCCTCCTAGAAATCAAGATTGGTTTCTAATGCTCCTTTAATTCGACAACTCTACACTTTCTCTATGAGGACAAAATTCCCATCATCATTTCCCTGAACATTAGAGCCACCTGTTGACACAAACACAAATGAGTAAAAACCAACCCAAAACAATTCAAACAAAACCAAACAACACACAAAGGGACTCCCCTGAAGTTCTAGTTCCCTTAAGAGGCACAATTTTCACCAGACTCTTAACCACTAAAGAAGGCAGGTTTTCTGACATGCTCTCTTGTTTAGGTCGTTTCAAGACCTGCTGGGCATAAGAGCTAAACAGCGAAGTGGCCCAAACAGACAACCGAATATCTGGACGGTGTCCCTGTCCTGGCCCCCACAGACTCCAGAACAGACGCTGGTCAACAGCGCACCAGCCATCACCTGTCACCTGTGGTGGTGGCCTGACTCACAGTGAGGCCAACATAATGGACCCAAAGACTCCCCGAGACAAGGGACTCCAGGATCCCAGGGGGAGACAAAGAGGAAAGAGATGCCTGATACGTGAAAGGGTTTTGCATGTGATGAACTCACGGGGGCACTTCTTCACGCAGGTGGCGCCAAAGCTGTATTTTCCCTCTGGGTTGACGTCCATCTGGTAGGTGGTCGGGTTGTAGAGCATGAGCGGCGGGCAGGTGTCCTTGCACGTGGTTTCGTCGCGGAACTTGCGGCACACCTGTCACAGCAGGGACGGCATGCCCTGGTCAGGCTGGGCAAGGATGCTCAGGGCTGTTTTGACTCCGGGCACAAAGCTCGGGTTATAGTTCTTGACGTCCAGGATTTGATTAAAGCAAAACCAAGCAATCCCTGCCCTCCCGCCCCACAAAACCAGTGAAACACTTTCAGGAGAGTCGGAAAGACCTTAGAAGTACGATTTTTCTTGTACTGTCCTAGCTGTGATAATTTACGATTATGATGATAAAAACCCACATCTTTATTAATTTACAAATGATGACGGAGTTCACTTGCTGGACGGGTCCCTGTGGAGTGAAATTAGTTTTAAACTCAATCTCCTGGGTTTCCCTCATAGAGGACACATGAGGATGGGTTTTAGAATGTGTTGCCAAACTGCAGAAAACGCTAATGCAGAAGTCTGCTGTGCAGAGGCGACCAGACCACAAACACAGTTACCCGAAGACCCCCAGGCCATCTCCCCTCCAGCCCAGACCAACCAGGTCAAAACCCCTGGGGCCAGATGCAGCCTCTGGCATTTAAAAACCTCTCCCTCACTGAAACGGGAGTCTTCTGGATCCCACCTTAGGTGGGCCTCCTCCTCTGGAGCCCATGGGCCTCTCCTGGCACTTGGGGCTGCGTCCAGGGCTCATGTCTACCGGCCCTCGTGTCTCTAGGACGCCCAAGGTGCGCACTATGGGGGCCACCTCTGGGTGGTGCCCACCACCCACCAGAGCGAGGAGGCTTTCGCAGGGCTTTCTGCAGTAACAGGGACAAGACCCAGTGCTTCGGGCACCCCTGGGGCGGGGATGGGTCAGAAGAGCTCCAGCCATGCGTTCAAGTCTGTGCGGCTCCGGGGACGTGCCTTACCGTCTCTGTGTATTTATGCTAAGGGGCCTTCCGGTGTCAACTCCGTGGGTTTAGACTGAGATGGAACGACAAGAGAGTGTGACAACAGAGCCGATGGCCACCAAGAACGCTAAGGACAGAGCTCGTATTTAGTACTGATGCTCATCCCACGCCCAGGCCCCGGTCACCGACGCCACTTGCACTGTGTCATCGGAGCACTTAAAAGGTGCTATTTACTACGCATCACGCTCAAGTGAGGAAACTGAGGCATGGAGGGGTCAGAGTATTTGCCTGAGGTCACCAAGTAAGTGGCGAAGGCGGGACGATAGAGGAGGATCTGTCCCCCCGGTAAGTGCTCCCACAAGTGTGATTTGGTGATTTCTCCCACAGGAAGCCCCTCTCAGCCATGGCAAGAGAAGCCCCCCCGGGGGGTGGTTGGCTGTGGGTGGGGGGCGGGGTCAGCCTTACCAGACAGTCACTCTCGCGGGGCCCCGTGCAGCCGGCGGCACACTGGTTGTGACAGCAGTCGCTGGGGGACCTGCCGCGGCAGCGCCCCGAACACTGCTGGGCACAGATGATTTTGGTCACTGAAAAGGAGCAAAGGTCACCGGTGAGCTCAAGAGCCAGGGAAGGTGGAAGGGCCACCCCTCAGGCACCCTGCAGAGCCCTTGCAAACGGTGGGTGAAGCTGCCAACAGGGGTGAATTCAGCGGTTCCCCAGCTTATCAGGGCTCCGAACCTTCGCGTTCCGCCAAAGCACACCGAATTGTGACCTTTCTTTTTTTTTTCTTAATTTATTTATTTGACAGAGAGAGAGATCACAAGTAGGCAGAGAGGCAGGCAGAGGGCGGGGGGAGCAGGCTCCCCGCTGAGCAGAGAGCCCGACGCGGGGCTCGATCCCAGGACCCTGAGATCATGACCTGAGCCGAAGGCAGCGGCTTCACCCGCTGAGCCACCCAGGCGCCCCAGAATCGTGACCTTTCTGTATTCCGCCTCTTTTTCCCACTGATTTTCAGTCACTTCAGAGGACTGCCCAGGTCAGGGCTAGACTTTTAGCCCCGCTCAATAATTACGCGCTAGTTAGGGCTGAGATTTGTGGTGATATGGAAAATACCCCCCGATAATAAATGTGCCTGTCGGAAAGTGGTGAGTAAAAGGATGAAACTGTCACGTCATAATTAAACCGAAGGGCAGACGGTGAAATTTGAGGCAGAGGTCCCCAGATCCCTTGGCCGCCCGTGCTCCCAAATGAGGGTTCCTGTAGAAAAACCCTCCTGCAAAGTACGCTCTGGCTTCTGTAGACACGCCCCCGAGGGAAAGGAAACTAGAGGGGCTGGTGACAGGTAACAAGGGCAAGTCTTCTGTTCCCAGGAAGATATGCCAACCCCATGGTTCAAAGAGACTGGCTGGCTTGTGCGTGGCTGCCTTCCGCTCATTTATGGCAGACGGGGGTGCCCCGACCAGCCCACAGTGGATTAACCGCATGCACCGAGATCAGCAAGACCGTCATTCTCACGACTGCTCCCATCCGACCTTCTGGAGTCTCCCAAGGGAAAAGGCACACAGTCTGCTGCGTGGAAGTGGAGGAAAGCAGACACCGTTGATCTGAAATGCTGCTTGCTGACTTACATTTCTGGCAATTCTCTTTTCCTGGACCCCAACAACTTCCATTGGGACAGCTCGGATCACACTTTTGGCCTAAAGTGTAAAAGTAATAGTTAAATTCATATCTCAGGGGAGGAGAACGGTGGGGGGAGGAGGTGGGAAACTGGCGGCAAGCCCCTGCGCAATGTGACGTTCCAGAAACAAGGAGCAGCTCCCAAATTTCTAATTCTCCATTTGTCTATTTGCTGGCTGGTTGGTAAGGTGACTCAAATGACTTTCATGGAAAAAAAAAAAAAAAGATGAACCGCGTTCTGTTTTTACTTATGTTTCAGCAGCAGAAACTGAGGCAGAGAGTAATGAGTCACTTCTCACAGCTGTGAACACTGGGGTTCAAATGGTCCAGTTTCCACATGTGTTTAGGCTTGGTGAATTTTCCAGCCTCTCCAACAGTGCTAAGGGTGTCCAGTCTGGTGGGTGGGTCTGACCCACTACATTCCCACTCTGCCCGTCTCGAGTGACCTGAGCATCAGTGATCCTGGGGGACCTGGGATCCTGCTAATAAAGACCCCTAGACCCAAAGCCAGACAGAGGCAGGGAACATGGCTCAAAGGGTCAAATATTCACAGTGTGTGTCACCTTGCTGATCAGCTAAACGTTAGCTATTAATTTGTGAGCAACTGTGTGGAAATATTTGATGTTGATCCATCAGTGTTTGCAGGAATCAACTACAGATTATAGCTGCAGAGGTTTTTTAATCTCACTAGTTGTGTTTTTGTTTTTACTAGCATGGAGATACTTGAAGACCAAAGCCTCTCACCTGTATAAAGAGAACAGGTTGGGGGATGAACATCAGGGAGGGTATGTGCTATGGCTGAGCGCTGTGACTTGTGTAAGACTCATGATTCACAGACCTGTACCCCTGAAGCAAATAATACATTATATGTCAGCTTAAAAAGAGAGAGAGAGAGAGAGAGAGACTGAGAGAACAAGTCGACCACCAAAGTTTGTTAAAAAGAGATCAGCTGTGCAGGTATATTTCACAGCAAAGACACGGGAACCTACAGGAGTTCCTGTATGTCCCAAAGCCTCCCACAGTCAGGAAGAATTTAATTCCTGGTAGAATCTAGATTTCAGATGGGAAGAGCTGATGATTTCCTAAGTTACTGTGGAACCAGGGCACCCCTTTCATGAGACTCAATATCCTTCCCATCACCCCAGGGGTGGAGGCTGGCAGTGCAGTGCTGGTGCTCCTAGGAATCAGGAGACATGGGGAGGCCAAACCCCAGATGCACGGCGTGGGCTGTGCATTGTGAAGCAGAGGGACAGAGACAGAGAGACGGGAAGAACAAAGCAGTACACGGAAGTGGTGAAAGTGCTTGTGTCTGGACCGTGAGACATTCTTTTTTCTCTTTACCCTATCCTTCCTCATAATTCTCGAACCCCTTATAAACATGTAATGGGTTGACAAAACAAAAACATTTACAATGAAAATGCTTAATGGCCTCTTCCTGTAGTGGAGACAACATCTGCTGACCCATGAATCAAGGTTTGCTTATAATTCTATTATTAACCCTCTGTTACGAAAAAGGAAATGTAGGCAAATTACATAAAATATGGATAATAGAGAAAAGCAAGAGGAGGAAATGAGAATCATCCAGAGGTAATCAATATACATATACAAGTATATGCATATATATGAATTGACGTCACACTGTACTTTGTATCATAATTAAAATAAGCTAATAAAAATGTTACGGCAATTTTTCCATGGCTTTAAATATCCTTTTACATAACATGATTTTATTTAAAAAAAAAAAAGATTTTATTTATTTATTTATTTGAGAGAGAGCAAGAGAGGGCGAGAGCATGAGCAGGGGGAGGCGGCAGAGGGAGAGGGAGAAGCAGGCTCGACACTGAGCAGGGAGCCCGATGCAGGACTCGATCCCAGGACCCAGAGATCATGACCCGAGCTGAAGGCAGATGCTGAACCGACTGAGCCACCCAGGCACTCCCGTAACATGATTTTCAACGGCATGGCTATACCATCATTTCTTTAACTAATCTCTTATTTTTAGATATGTAAGTTGGTTTTAAAATTCATTATAGGTAAGGCTGCAAGGAGTATTCTCGCACAAAAGCATTTTTCTATATCCTTATGCTTTTCACTCGCCTTATTATTTTTTTCTTCGTATTCCTAGATATGAGGAGTGCATACTTTAAAGCTTTAATACATATTGCTAAAATTCTACCCCTGACTGTATTTTATTGGTGTATTTGCCCACAAGAAGAGGATGAGGATTTCTGATTTCTGCTTCTCGATACCTCTCCTCATCCAGGTATCTAAAAGTCAAAAGGAATCCAAATCTTTTGCAAAGGCAAAAAAGATGCTTCTTTATTTTGACCTTTTTAAAGTTACATGTTAAGGAATAACATTTTACTTTATTTCTTAGGTATCGTGTGTGTGTTGGGGGAGCACAAACTGCTCATGTCTTTGGCCCTTTTTTTTTTTTTAAGATTTTTTAAATTTGTTTGACAGAGAGAGATCACAAGTAGAGAGAGAGGGAGAGAGAGAGGAGGAAGCAGGCTCACTGCCTAGCAGAGAGCCCGATGTGGGACTCGATCCCAGGACCCCGAGATCATGACCCGAGCCGAAGGCAGAGGCTTAACCCACTGAGCCACCCAGGCAGCCCGGCCCCTTTTTTTTTAATTGGGAGGCTCACCTTCTTGGGATACCTAAGACTACTTTACACCATCATATTATCAAGAATATTAACCCTTTCCAAGGCAAGCAGATGATGCACAATATTTTCCTGTTTGTCATTAAGATTTCTTAATATGGAAGTTTTCTTGCATGCCATCGGACTGGGCTTTTCTTCAGCTTGAAAATACCAATAAGCATCTTCATGTTTCCTTCTAGCACTTACATATATATTCAGTAATTTATTGTATATAATATGATTTGGAATTTATATTGGTGTGCAAAGCGGATGATTGATTTAATTTCCCCTTAAGGAAACCCACCTAATTGAACTTCAAATTCCGAACTACATCAACCGTAACATCATGTGGGGGCGCACTGGGTAACCTTTTTGATTCTTAAATCCATTGCCCATACAATACTTAAATCACCTTATGAGATTTTCCTGGATAAAAATTAAATGCGACAATTTCTCAGAAGGCATGTGTAGCTTGAAAAGCTCTAGGCAAGGGCAGGGTTTCCCTTCCCACAAGGAGCATGGCAGGTTCCTCATCTCGTCACTGGTCGGGTAATTAATGAGGAGAATGAAAGTGGCAGGTGGATACTGTTCTTTAAAAAAAAAAAAAAACCCTTATAGTTCTGGCACTTTGGTATCTTCCCCTTAATAGTTCAATCACTCTGGAACGATTTACTGAATAATAAATTCTTCCCTCATTTGCTTGAAATGTCATTCCTTTATGGACACTTAATTAATTTTTTAAAAAGATTTATTTATTTGACAGAGATCACAAGTAGGCAGAGAGGCAGGCAGAGAGAGAAGAAAGGAAGCAGGCTCCCTGCTGAGCAGAGAGCCCGATGTGGGGCTCAATCCCAGGACCCCGAGATCATGATCTGAGCAGAAGGCAGAGGCTTTAACCCACTGAGCCACCCAGGCTCCCCTATGGACATTTAATTTAGTGAGGCTTATTCTTACTGTCTTTCTCTTCTATGTCTCTAGTTTATTCTTACGTGTCTATTCGTAACTCAGCACTCTACTGGTTTGCAGTTCATAGCCTTGTCTTATTTGAATCTTGTTATTGGAAGAGCCTTCCTTCCCAGTATTTTTTTTCAGGGTCTTCCTCACGGTCTTGGTGTGATGAGGACAGGTGTGCCATTTGGGCTGTTGGTTCTAGTCTATGGCAAACCCATACTAGCCTCACAGCCGTCCAGTGTCAATATTTTGTGTGTTGTTATAAATGCCCACAATTCAACCTCCCTATTGTCCATCAGACAGCTGAGGAAAGGTTAAGCCAGACATCATGGATAATACAAAATTTTGCGTTATAGGATAAAGTCTGCAGTTTCTTGCCACGCTGACCACCGGTCGGAAACCTGTATTTGGAAACAAAGGGGCTCGACACCCAAGTCCACAGCGGCATTATTTGTAACCACCAACAGGTGGAAGCAACCCAAGAGCTCACCAGCTGATGAACGGACCAACAGAACACTTGCACACAGATATCCCCCCAGTGGACAACGGACTACTCCTCATCCATATAAAGTTAAGAAATTCTGACACATGCCACCACATGGAGGAAACTTGAAGACAGTAACCCAAGTGACAGAAGCCAGTCACAGAAAGCCAAGGACTATGTGACGCCCCTTCTGTGAAGTCCCTAAAGCAGTCACACTCATAGCGACGGAAAGCAGCCTGGTGGTTGCCAGGGGCTGCGGGAGTGGGAGGGGGAGTTCCTGTGGACCGGGGACAGAGTTTCAGTTTTGCAAGATGAAAAGAGTTCCGGAGACGGACAGCGGTGATGACTGTGCCACAGCGGGAATGTACTTTTGCCACCACTGAACTGTACCATATTTAAGAATGGTTCAGATGGGAAATTTCACGTTAAGGGTATTTCAGTACAATAAGCAAATAAACAAATAAAATAAGATACAATGAAGTAACAAGAAGGGGGTTCTAGTCAATTTTGAAGATCCACAGGAGCTCCAGATTCTTTGAGACCAAAAATAAACAAACAAAACCCCATAAAGAAACCACCCCCCCGCACAAAAACGCGTATGCAATGCACAGTTTAGGGCAACAGAAGCAGGAAACGGTGATGACTTATTTTAAAGGACTGAAAGACCAGGGAGACCAGGGAGGGGGAAGTTAAGAGGAGCCTGGTAACTGTACGCATGTGTCTTCAGAGTTTCCCACACAGTGTTGCCAAGGGTCCAAGTGGCGCAGCTCTGACCTACAGCCTGGCCCCCCGCCAGCCTCCCCCTGGCACGGGCCACTTCGCCGACGAATGGCAGGGACCAGGTTATGGGCACCAAGGGGAATATGGACAAATAGCCCCCCAACCCCCACCGCTATGCACTGCGCCCAACTTTGCTGGGGCTCTATTGTTGGAGGCCAAAGGTCAGCCTCCCGTGTTTCCAGAGGGCCTGGCACTGCTCAGCAGCCCGTCGGAGGCACACAAAAGCGTTGCTTGTCTCCTCTGGGCAAGATGGGAAAGGCCCCTGGGGCCAGCACTGACGGCTCCTGTCAACAGCCACACGAGGGCTCCGTTGTCGTGGCGGGGGGTGATCTGCCCAGTTCGCAGGCACGCCGACTGTCTCCACGAGAGACAGGCTTCCCCTAGGTCCTGAATAAGCGCTCTTCTAGCAGGCAGAGCAATTGTTTACTAGTTATTTTTGGTTTAGGTTAATCTGCTCTCTGTCACCCCCCCACCCCCCAACATGCTATAACTCTGCGTCCACCTCCCCCCACTCCCCCGCAACTGTAGGAGCTACAGGCAGAGGGGACTTTCTGGAGCACTTACAATTGCCCGCATGGTTCTGGAAGTCCATCGACATGTTGCTTACAAAACTGTCGTCCACGATGTCCTGCCACTTGATGCTGTCCACGTTGCAGAGGACAGGGTTGTTGCTGAAGCGCACAGCGCCTTGGAGGATTTCTGCGCAGGGAAAGAACCTCGATGACCACAGGGCCAGGTCTATAAACTCCCGCAAAGCACGCACGCATTTCTTTACATCTGGAGTTCTGCTAAAGTGGGACCCCCCACAGAGCTCGGGTGGGGGCAGGGGTGGGGGAGGCAGCTGAATGATGAGGGGGTGGTAGTGTCAGAGGAGTTAGGCTTTCCCCATGAAACTGGCCTTGGAGCACAAACCATCAGAATGCAGAAATATGGGAAGGAAGGAAGCTGTGTGGGGTGAAAGTGAATGGGGTACTCGGGACGGAGGGGTGTGGCAGACACGCACTGTGGCCAGCAAGGCCAGGAGAAGGGGCTGATGCTGTGAGGTCCTCAGTGGAAATGGTGGCAGGGGAGCGAAGGCGGGGCGGGGAGAAGGCTCTCTAGGTAGGGGGAGGAGAGGGCAGGCACCAGGAATGCCACTGGCAGGAAAGACTATGATTGTTTCACAGGAAGAAATGACACAACACGGAAAACCGGGAATGATTAGAAAAAGGCAAGCGTGAGCGTAGAGAGAGCACTGCCTCGATGCCAGCGGGTAGAAACGGTTACTGACCGACTTCTGTGCACAAACACCGCAGCTGGGGGTGGGCAGGGGTGAACCGGATCTAGGAGCTGACGGGCCAGGGGAGCCCGAGGGGTCATGTGGCTGGCGAGCTCGTGCCCCCCCGAGACCCTGCGGGACACAGGACATAGCCAGGTACTCTGCTGGTTTATTGAAACACACAATCTTAGCTAATCGTCACAATGGTCCCACCACATAGATAACGTCCAGCAACTCCTCAGGCAGGGAACAGACCTGCCCCAAGGACAAAGCACAGACGTGGAAAGAGAGGGTCCTCCCCAGGAGGAGCTCCGAGGCTGTTGAAGAGAACGACACTTCCTGGAGCATCATGTGGCCTGTGGAGGGGAGGGGACAGCAGGCTTTCTGAAGCCAGAAGACCGGAGCCAATGCATGTCAGTGGGACAGGCAGGCGTTCTCTCCGGCGGACAGTGGAGAAAACCGCAGAAGGAAGGCTGGGAGGTCCGGAAGGGCCAAACTGTGGGGCGTTGGGTTTAAAGTCAGAGATGACAGCAGGACAATCAGGAGAGGACATCCGGTCAGGAGGCAGCCAGAGTCAAGAGGGTAAACCTCTAATGGGAGGTCAGAACTGGAACCACAAAGTAGGGGCATCAAGGCTGCTGTGACCCTCGTGAAGACAGAGAGGTGCCAAGAAGAGCGTATGATGGAAGGTCATGGTCGGGCCTTACAGAACACCTTCGGTCTGCCACAGTGAGAAGTAAAAAGGCAGCAAAGGTGCCGGACGATTCGGGTGCCCCTGACCGGGTAGCTCAGAAGAGAAAGAGGCCATCGGCCTGGACGCCGTCATTCTTCTATTTTTACTTTCAGTACTTAATGATTTTATTCTTTGTGTTGGGCACTGAGTTAATCTTTAGTAACAGTATTTGATTAGTATGGGAAATTTCACATTAAATAGTTATTTGATAACAAGAAATCATGTGCACGCATACAACCCCATACCAAAGCGGAAAGAACACCAGCAAGGGGAATATGAACTCCTCAGTGCTTTTTCCATAGTAATTCCCTTAATCTTCCCCCCATGCCCAGGAAGTGTGTAACCACTGTTACCCACATTTTTAAAGCAGAGGAAGCTCAGACACAGAGAGAACCCACTCCAGGGGCATCTGGCTGGGGAGTGATGGAACCAGGCCTGGAACCCAGACAGTCTGGCTCCGGGGTCCACGCTCTTAACCACATCTGCCCATCACCACGACAGAGCATGAGGCCAGATGGGCAGATTGAGGCATGCTGGATGCATGTACCATTTTGCAAAATGTGTAAATAGCACAAATTAGTAACAGCATAAACGCGGACTATGTGCGTGGGTGCTGTGAGCACCTAACGTGCTGGGTGGAAAGTCTTAGGGCCGTTTCATAGGATGGCCGAACCCAGGACCCCGACTAGAGGGCTGTGCCAGCAGCTTTGGAGCCTGGGTCTGGACGCCTTGTCTTATTCCAGCGCTGCTGTCTGCCAGGCTCCAACCACTCCCAGGACTCCCTCTGTTTTGCACCCTCTGCTGGCAACTCCCCCTTTCCTGGTGGGCCCCCTTCCCATCACAACTGCATAGCACAGGGGAAGGGTAAAGATTCCAGTGGCCATTCCTGGCCTTTTATTTTTTTTTTTTTTTAATGAATTTGGGACCTTAGGAGGATCACTTTGCCACCATTTCTCTATGTGTTAAGACGGTGGCAATGCAAACACCTGTGGTGGAGGACGGGGCTGGGCCTGATGTTCCCGAAGTAACAGGACCGGCACCGGCACCGCACCCACCACACTGCGAGGGCAAGCTTCCATTATCTTCACTTTTGTTTAAATCAACCTCCTATCTCTCCTACCCTCTTCCTTAGCTTCCACTTGGAGGACCCTTATGAGTGTCCCACTCACGGGAATTCAAACTCTGCAACACCGTCATTCTCTGTCCTTACCGTCAATGTCTCTGTCCTTAAGTCATACTCTGTGTGACAGCATCACTCTGAAAGTGGCCTCAGGTAGGGGAGGTTTTTAACGCATGTCCCTTATACCCGAGGTCCAGGTAACAGGACTGGCCGTTTACTCCCTCCCTAGGCACAGAGAGCCAAAAGCCCAGCCAAGGTCGTCTGGTCTCTGTTTCCAGGAACCACTGCCGTTTCTTAGTAACTCTCTGGGTATCTCCGCAGGGATACAGGGCAAGTGGTACCTGGCTTAAATCTTCCCTTCCCATCACTGACCGTCTTCTTTAACTTCCACCTACTGTCTCGGGCACGTAGCTAGCACGCGGAGCATCTGTACTGGACGGATACGAGACTTCTCTGAGTGGCATTCAGAAAGGTGACCGGTTCGCCGAGCACCTGCAGGCACAGTGTCCCCACGCCCGGGGCCTCTCACCGTGTAAGTTTCTCAGGGGAAGCTCCTGCAGCCCGGTTTTGTTCGTGCCGTAGTTGGATAAGACGGACAAGGCATGAGTGTTTTCATAGAGCACGTTTCCTCGGATGATCTGCAGGTTTTCCAAGGGAATCTTCTCCACGGTGTTCAGGGCAATGAGGACATAGCCGGCAACCTCCTGGATGGTCTGAGGAGACAGAACGGGACCACGTGTTTCTCTTGTGAGGAGTTCCAGAACGCAAGGTCGAACATGCGTCCAGGAAGCCTAGGGCACCTGAGTGAACTATGCACACAAGTGACCGACGGACATAAGGCAGGTAGAGGACTACAGTGGGGACGTGGGTGGGGGAGGGGTGACAGGATTTCCGACGACTCCTACACTTTTGTCCCTTGAGCCTGCTGGCAGGAATGAAGGGCGAAGTGCGCTATTCAGGAATGCTGCGATTCTCATTTCACGTGGTTTCGGGACACTCAGAATAAAAGGAGAACGTTTTATTAATTCATTTTGTATCTGTCTTGCATGCTCTCTCATTAGAAAAAAAAAATAATAACCCAGAAGACCAATTCAGCTACGATGAAACTCTGAAGCCTTCAGAGCTGGGTCCTTTTGGCTCACCAGAGCCTGCTGTGAAATATTTGGGAAATGTGTCAAGTGGTGTAGTGGGAGTACCAAGGAAACAGGAAAAAGCTACAAAGTGGAACTTATTTTAAAGTTCCAATTAGGGGCACCTGGGTGGCTCAGTGGGTTAAAGCCTCTGCCTTCAGCTCAGGTCATGATCTCAGGGTCCCAGGATCGAGCCCCCATTGGGCTCTTCTGCTCGGCAAGGACCCTGCTTCCTCCTCTCTCTGCCTGCCTCTCTGCCTACTTGTGATCTCTGTCTGCCAAATAAATAAATAAAATCTTAAAAAAAAAATAAAGTTCCAATTAAAGAGCCAAGACAGCTAACGCAATGGTTAGACGCTTAATATCAGGGTGTACGATGATGGTGGAACGCCAGGCGGCCTGTGTCTCTGTATTATTTCTTGGCTGTAACTTGACACTAGCTGGAGGAGTGGTTTTCCGATAAAACTTGCATCTGTAGCTCCCCAGGACTTGTAGTTACCAGAGCAAAAGCAAATACACTGAGGTTATATTTCTTTTTATCATATTTGGGTAAGACGGTCAAATTGATGGAACTAACCTTTAAGAAGGAAAGGTCATAATTCTTTTGCATGTAGGTAATTTCCAGATTCCCAAGGACCACCTCACAGTTATTGAACATCCTCTGAAGGCTCAGAAAGTGGTCTTCAAAAGTGCCCAGCTGGGTGAGCCGGTTACTGGTGCCTTGGCAAACTGCAAAGAAAAGGGGGAAAAAAAAAAGATGTCACATGAAACGCCAGGTAAAGTAGCAAAGGTAAAATAAAAGGGTCTCACATTTCAACTAACTTTGCGAGTTTCGGTGACTTGCAGTATTAATTCTGATAAAAGGTCACTCAAGACGAATGGGACAAGAAAATGTTTGTCTATATAAGGTACAGTTCATAATATATAATGTATATATATAATGCAGGGGGTCATTTTCAACTATTAAAAATTCAAGGGGAAATAGGGGGAATTCTATGAAAATCTTTAAGACAACACAGTCTTTTCTTTTTTCCTTCAAAGATTTATTTATTTATTTCAGAAAGAGAAGGAGAGAACGTGAGCGTGAGCACGTGTGGTGGAGGGAAAGAGAGTCTGAAGCAGAGCCTGACACACGGCTCCACTGCAAGGCCCTGAGGTCATAATCTAAGCCAAAACCAACAGTCAGAGGCTCAACCGACGGCACCATCCAAACACCCCAAGACAAAACAGTCCTTTAAAGCTTTGGGAGATAAACAAACAAAAAAATGTGTCATAAGGTATTTAAATAATATAATGACAACGTTGAGCTAATAACTATATAATGCACTTCTTACTTTACAAAAAAAATAGAATACCACATTACTGTGTGTCCGAAGGATATTTACAAACATAACATAGGCTGGCCGATATTTTCGGACTACAACGTCGTACAACTTAAAATCAGTGACAAGAGTGTCAATTAAAATCCAACTGGCTAGAGATTAAAAATATTCGTCTATACTAATGCATCAAAGAATAAATCAAAGGACTAATTATATACCTAGAAAATAATGAAATGGAAACATACATTTAAAAACACACTCAGCTACTAAGAAATCGACGGGTCCTTCTGTTTGTCCGCGTGGACCACAGGTGGAGGTGCACTGCTTTGCATTTTTCGGCAGGACACAGCCTTGGCACACTTAAGCCCCCAATGTTTTAACTTAATACAAGAAACAGTTTGAAGTAGGGGACGAAGTTAGCCTATGGAAATACACTTGACAGTCTATATTTAAAAGCAAAGGAGATTACAATAAAGTCATACTTACAAACCCAGCTCTTTGAAAGACATGTTTAAGCAAGCATACCAAAACAAAGAGGTTGGGGCTTTTGAAGCAGGGAGCTTGTTAAGAGACTGCACTTTGAACCAAAATTACCGTAAGAGTGAAGAAATATGGCCTCTGGCTTTGGAGGTTAGGTTCAGAACCTGCCAGGTTCTGCCACATGTTTGCAAAGGCATGACTGCCATCAGCGGCCAGGTGGTTGAACGCCAAAACAAGGCCAAAGTCAATATGCAGGTACTTTCCTCAGAAACACTTTCTAAATTTACATTTATATTTTACAGGCTTCTTTGTTCCCTCTTCATGGGAACTGCCCAGAAGAGCACCGTCTGACCATCTGCCCTTTGCATTTTTGGGCCACAGCAGCGAGCCCATGCGCAGATACCCCCTAATCAACCCGAAGCATTTATACCAACATTCAGTGTGAAGCAATTGCCACATCCTCTTTGACTCTACGGGGATTTCCCTCTTCTCCTCTTTTGTGGTCTCATTCAAATCTGGTGGTAGCGAGAACTCTCACATGGGAACTACAACAGTCCGACAATACCGAGCCCCCGTCTGCTCCAGGGGCAGAAGGGTTCCATAAGTCTCCCAACCACAACACTGGATGGAATGACCCAACATCTCTGGGCTGCTCTCACTCGGGGGTACGGGCTACTTCGATTGCAGCCTCAATCTGGAACATCTGTACACAGCTGGCAGCAATGCGTGCAGATGGGGCCAGACTGATTTCCAAATTCCAAGGTGTTCAAAGATGCCACCACCAATGTAGGTACAGGGTTGTGACAATAACCCATGACCTTTCAGCTTGCACACGTTGAAACAAAAGCTCTTTTCCCAGCTGGCAGACTATGGTCTCTCCATTTCAGCCTAAAACTGACTGGTGGTCATCTCGGTGGCACAGTATTGGTCACACCCTTCATCCCAGCCAGGTGAACAGTGTCCTAGAACTTGGGGTTGGAGCGCACCTCAGAAGAGTTTCTTCAGTATCCAAAGAAATGAAAACTGTAACAGTTGCTTTCATTTTAAAGAATTTTTTTTAAGATTTTACTTATTTACTTGAGAGAGCTGGAGCATGAGCAGGGGGCAGGGGCAGAGGGAGAAGCAGACTCCCTGTTGAGCAGGGACCCGAAGAGGAGCTCCATCCCAGGACTCTGAGCCCTAGGCAGACGGATTGGCCACCCAGGTACCCCCAGTTGCTTTCATTTTAAATGATACAAAGTATCAGCTTGTAAATTTCTCTCAGTTCAACCAAAGAATTTTTATTACTAAATCAATGACAAAGAAACTTTTGTCAGTAAAAAAGGAAAACATGCCCTTTAAGTTTAGCCTGTTACATTATAGAAAAAATAATTTAAAAAAGATTGTAGTTGCCCTTTCATTCATTCATTCAAAAGATGCTAAATGAGCTCCTAAAATATTTATTTGATGAATACCTATCATGACCCTTCATTGTTTACAATTAGTATTCTACGTTCAGAAAAAGAGATGCTACATTTGGAAGATAACAGCAACATTACACATTATTGGTGTGAACATTAATTCAAAAAACATTTTGGGAAGCAAGTGCACAACTTGTGTGAACAACTAAATATGCTTTAGAAAACTTCATGCAAAATGTTGTTCATTTTTTAAAATATGGCAAACAACTCCAAACAGCCCTAAATGCTCATCTTGTCCAACACGTGCATTCTTGAGAACAAGAGAGCAGTTGGTATACTGTGTGACTCCATTTAAGGCAAATCCATCTTGAATTCTATTCCAGGATTAATTGCTAAAGTCTCAAAAGAAATGATTACAAAGCTGTTTCTTCTCAGGCTTTCTCCTGCCGTCTGCCACAAAGGAGATGACCGTGTCTTAAAAGTCCAGAGTAAGGATCAGACTGATTTGACCGATGCCTCTTGATTCAACAAAATATCGGCTTCGTTCCATATTTACACCAAAGGTCTCGCAGCATGAATATAAAGTAATAGGAAGACTTAAGTGTGAGACCACTGAATTAGTAAAATTATTTTTGAAAAAATCAGATTAACAAGTTAGACAGGTTTAAGACAAAACTGCAATGGGCAAGAGCTTTTTAATTCATCCAGGAGAAAGCTTTCATTTCGCCCTTCCTCCGTACGTGACCCTGAATGACTTCTCTAAGCTCTCTACCGCGTGCTTTCCTCAAGCAGTAGACGCGGTGAAAATAATACTGACCTTCCAGAATTCTTTTCAAGACTGAATAAACACAACAGCTTTCAACTTGCTTTTGTTAAAATTAGCTAGTGAGAAAGGTGACAGTAACACAAGACCCAACTGCACAGATGTTAGGGGACCTCTGTGGAACACATTTGCCTCATGGTATTGTCTAAACTGAGAGTGTTGGGATCTGCAAACATCTTTCTTCAAATATTGGGCATTAAATAGAACTACTTTGTCTGTAGACTAGTTACCAGAAAAGGAAAGAAAAAGGAACATATTCAATGATTTCATTAAAATATCCACTGAGGTTTAGGGGTTGAAGCCATTGATTCAAAGAGAAACGTGGTATCGCTTTAGGGCTATCTGTTTGAAGACAAGACAATTTAGGTATATCACGGTCCATACAAGATGCTAGTGATTTGCTTTTCCTGTTACAAATCTGAAGACAAATTCTTCTTCTTTTTTTTTTTTTTTAAGATTTTTATTTATTTATTTGACAGAGATCACAAGTAGGCAGAGAGGCAGGCAGAGAGAGAGGAAGGGAAGCAGGCTCCCCGCTGAGCAGAGAGCCCCAACATGACAGAGGGCTCATTCCCAGGACCCTGAGATCCTGACTGGAGCCAAAGACAGACATTTAACCGACTGAGCCACCCAGACACCCTCGGGTGTTCTTTTCCTTAAGAGCCCCCCAATTTATCTGAACTGAAAATGAAGACATTCTGCCTCCTCTAAGTCTTAGAATACCCTTGATTTTATGGGGTAGGGCCTGTGGTTTTCCCGCCCCGTTATGGGGGTGTACACCTCTCTTTCCCCACAAGTCTGGGCAAATCCGTATTGCTGATTAAGACACAACATTAAAACAAGTTTCTCCAGATTTTCCCAAAATCCACTTAGACACTTTTGAAATCACCTAGGAAAATTTATAATTATTTTAATTTGTTGTTTTCTCAACTATGTATGAATATTTGCCAAAGTAGCTGGGCTCTTGTAATTCTCTCCCCTTGGCCTCCTAAATTGTCCTTTTATCCTTGCCCCATTTTCCACAGAACACTTCATTTTGAAGCAGAAGGCATATCACACTCCTCCTCAGCATGCATCATCCCCGTTTCCCGGTGTAATCGGAACACAGTACAACAAGCTCCTTTCTCATCATCCCTACTTCTCTTGGCCTCTCCTTGCTCACTGTCCCAGCCACACTCCCCTAGTTCTCTCCAACTGGCCTGGTTCTCATTCACTTCAGGGCTGCACCATCTGCTGTCCCATCTCCCATCTCCTTTCCCTCCAGATGTTTGCATCTTTGTCTCCCTGTTATCACTGGGATTCCAACTCATCGGTCCTCCCTTCAGGAAACCCTGTCCTGGAACCAGATTAGCTTAAGTTCTCACCATTAAATTCTATCATATCGCCTGCTCTCTTTACTTCCTAGTAAACTGATCACTACTTCGAACTATTATTTGCTTATGCAAATATATGTATTTATTTATTCATTCATCTATATGGCAGGGATGGTGGATTTTATTTTATTTAAAAAAAATTTTTTTTTAAAGATTCATTTATTTATCTGAGGGGGGGTGGCTTGGCTCAATCCCAGAACCTGAGATCATGATCTTCCAGAATCAGAGATCATGATCTGAGCCCAAATCAAGAGCTGCTTAACTGACTGAGCTCCTCAGACCCCACCCCCAGAGGCCTATTCTGATTGATACATGTGTATCTCATTGGACT